GGCCTCGAGGACCTGCACTCGAATGTAGTGATGAAAAAAAAAAACGAGAGCGGCAGGTCCCCCACAAAAAAGGGCTCCCCCGAGGGGAAAAAAATTATCCTAATCCCTAAACGTCGTTGAAAATACATAAAAACCGTAAACTTTACGATTCCCCTTTTTCTCATATCTTTTCATTTTCGGAGGTTTCATTGGACTCTCAAGAAGCCATTAATTACGTCGGGCAGCGGTTTTTGAGTGATTTAAGCGCAGTATCGAGCATTTACTATCCTCGAACGTAAGGAACTCCTGAAAATGAAGTACAAAGTACCTTTTTAGGTGCAGCTCATGCGGAAAATGCCCCGAAATCGGTTTACAAGTGGTAATAAAAAATTCATGGGAGTTACTTGGACACCTCTGTGGGTCGTTCGTGTTGGGAATAAGGGCATTAGGATAATTTGTTACTAATTCGTGGGTCGTTAAAATATTTTATATGTGAAAAATGAGGAAAACCAGTTGATTTCGATTTTCACTCGGGCATGTGCTCCATTTCTGGATGAAATCACAACTATAACTAACGTTTATAAGCATTCGGAGAATGGCCATTATGGTATTCAACTTCGGAGAATTAAAACCGAGGAATTCTTCAGAATTGCTCACAATTGATTGAATAATTAATTGCGGTTTCATGATGTGTCGGAAGGTGATAAGGTGCATGTTCTTCGGAGACATTCCACGTTTCTCGTGAAACGCCGAGAAACTTATGTCAAAGTTTCATATTAACACGAGAAAAGTTAGCGCGAATTGATGAAATGTCAAGTTATATTTACCTGTTATTAATTCTGAAGAATTTGTAATTGAATGGAATTTTTAGTAATTTTTTCTGGTCTGGAACTTTCTCATGTGGTGAATTAAAATCTCATTAGCGTATTCGAAAAATGCGACCGTAATTGGCGCTCGACCCATGCTCTCGTCTTCTTCACGTCGATACTTCTTATTCCGTTTCTCATAAAACAAATGTGAAGAATCACGAGAGAAATAAAATAACGGAGGGATCTGAGTCCAGAGTTCGTCACGGATCGTCGCATAATCGAGAGCTCGACCAGTGCCACATAAATTCCACAATAAACTTCGAAAGAACGCTATGACGTCACGAAATTTCCACTCACGAATAACTCGTTGTTTTTTTTTTCAACTTCATTGTTTCATCGCTCCATGTCCGCATCTCTTTGTTACGCCCTCGCTAAGTCTCCGCTTTAATTCCATTTCAGCCAATTAATCACTCCCCGATATTTTTTTCCACTCCCCATTTTTATTATTCTTTGATAGTTCATCGATCTCGCCATCGGTGATTTATGATCGATCCGATGGAAACGGAAACTGACGAATGCCATGGGAAACTCAGAGATATCTATGAGTTGAAATGTTTATTTAAAAATTCCTCTGATAAACAGAAATAATGTGGAATTACATGATTTTTTTATCGAAATTTTGTGAAATTTTCATTGTCCAATTTTGACTCACATTTTCGCGACATAAAAAATTTGAATTTTCAATTATTCCATTCAATCCAAATGAAATGCGATAAAAATTAATTATTCAGGCGTTCCCTAAAATTCAAAAAGATTCAAATAAAAAATGAAAAGAAAAAAAAAACTCGCCCATTGCGAAATAATCTCTACCAATGAGCAATTATAATTATAATGGCATTACCCGAAAAAGTGAGACTTACGAGGGAGAATAAAAAAATTGTGTAAAAAGGACAAAAATATTTGAAGAGAGATAAGAAAGTCGTTCGAAATTTAAAGACGTCATGGGGCAACAGTCAGTGACCCGTGGGGATGCTGGGGTCGAGTCTCGCGAATGAATAAATCTTGGAATAGACTTCTCTCATAAAAATCACCTAATTACCATTAAAAACAAAAACGTGACATTTAGTGGAATTTGCGAATGCAGTCTGGGGGGCGCACACGTGCTGCAAGAGAGGGGGCCCCGAGAACAGAGCCCCTTCAGCTGTACTTTGGTCGAAAACACATGCCAGAAATCCCCCAGAGGAATATTTGCTGCTTTTACCACACGACTCGTGCCTCAAAAATCTTCCAACCAGAGAAGAAAAATAACATTTAGAATATATCTCATGGTAAATAACAAATCGCACCCTAGGGACATGTCGCTCCACCCATCACTCCAAATTCCACAACAAAATCCCCAGCATTTTATCATTAATTAAATCACTAGAGCCGCCCCTCCACGCAGAGACAAACATTTTTTATTGTCATGAAACATTAAATTACGCGGTAATATTGCAATTTTTATGTCACATTGACATTCATCTCGGCATCTTATGATAAAATTCAAAACTCATCCATCGACTGTTGAATGAACCATCGTAATCATCTTCTCTCTTCTATTTCTGCAGCACTTGCATAATTGCTGTTTATTATTATTATTGAACCTGAGACATTTTGCGATAATGATCGAGATTGAATTACCAATGCAATGGGCTCTATCGGCGCCTAGTGTAGGATTTCTCGTGAAAATATCGATTGACACGATTAAATTATGGATCATCCAATGAAAAAATCGTACTTTACATACTTTCATGCTTTCAATTTTCTGAATAAAACCGCAAGTATAAATACCATCTAGAGATATTAAAAGACTATACTCGATGCAAATTCCAGGAAGTAAAACCGAGGAACTCTCCGGTATTATTCGGTATCAATTACTGCACTTCATAACAAAAATCTCGAATTACTCCGTAATTATTCCGCGAGAAAGTTTGGACAAAGTGAAATAAGCAGATAATTTCTGGAACAAAATGTGCCTTTTATTTATTTTATTTATCACTCAGTTTTTAAATTTAATATTATATTTAATTTGTATGATGATTATATGATATAGAAATACGATGATGAGATTGATTTGATTTGTTTTAACTTCGTTTACCTGTGAAATGAATGATTCGAAATGAATGAATGTCAAGTAGTCTTGAAAATCTAATCACTCGAACAAACATCAACAAAAGCCATTACTTTTGAACGACAAACATTGCGGTAACGACTCAAGTGTGAAAATCATTACGTTACAACTTGCAAAAAAAAGAATGAGGTAGATTAGCCTATCATTTTGCAGCCGGGATGAATGGACTTGAACGATTGCATGCTATCTCTAGTTTCTACTCCAGAAGCTATCATAGCACTCACATATAGCCTACTATAACAAACTGTTACGTCTCTAGTGTTTAGTCATGACGTAAGATAAATTCTCAACATTTAAAAACATTTAGAAATAGAAACAACAACGTCTTCAGCGGATTTTCTGGTGATGGCACAGCCATTATTCCGTCTGCCAAAAAATCAATTTTTTGTGCTAAAAAATGTGACTGAAGTTACACATTCCCAGACATTTTTTTAATCCAAACAATTTTCTTCTGATCGTGTGGCTTTTTAGCAGAAAAATTTTTCACTAGTGTTTTATTTAGGGGAAGTCCAACGGCTCACAAGCTGGAGAATTCAGGATGAGGGGGAAAAACACCTGGGCCCTTATCGCCAGGAACTCTGCACCTCCTGTATGCCACAAAATATCCTACCCCTGAGTCTTTTCCTGTACGTCTCTTACAACGATGGCCTTGTTCACTGCTCCTCTCTATTCTTCGGATTCTATTTCATCTTCTGTTTTTTTATTTTTATTTTTGGGGGACTTCTGAATGTTGGGCTGAACGAGGAAATTTTTATGCGAGTTCAACAGGATGCCTCGTGAATATTGTCATTGAACAGTCCAGATAAAGGGATTCATTCATATATCTTGGAATCTTGTTATGGGCAAAATGGAGATGACAGAGGGGGTACTGTAAGAATTATTTTTTTATGGTCCAATTAAAGATCATTAAAAATGCGGCGTCCTCTATTTTCTCGCAATACTTCAGTCAATCGACGATTTTATTTGTGAAATATGTGTAATCAATTCTTTTTTTAGTTTTATTCTTGGTACTTAATCGAGACTTCATTTCGTCAAGGCTATCCTCTGAAGAGAAATTTTGTTTCAGAGAATTTTCGAAAGATTATGTGAAACAGAAAATCTTTATGCGGACAGAGAAACATAGGGTAATCGGTTTTGTTTGTAAGATCTTCAATATTTTTGCCGAATTTATCAAAAAATGGGATTCTTCATGGATTTTCAGGGGAATAATTGGGGTATTGCGGATAAATAAAAATTGAATGTTCGCGTAATGATTCAATTCGGCGCGAAGGCATTTATGTTTTGATGAGGATTTTTACGCCGATTTATCGGGGTCGAGTGATAAGCGTGAAGCTTAATAAATTTTTCTGACTTGTTTGGGTTATTCAGAGCTCTCACATTCACGGGTGAATTAGTACTGTTCAGTTGGGCTCTCTTCGTTGGATAAAAATACGTTATTTTTCAATAGAAATTATGAATTGGGGGAGCTTCAGGGGATTATCGGGTAGTGGGCCTGACCTCTCCAATTTGATTAGTTAGCGACAATAAGGTCAACTCAATGTTAAAACTCTCCAATTTTGGCAAAATTCATTGAGAGTTCCGTAGAAATATTCCTAATCACCAATTTCTCCCGCTTTAATCCTTCCAACTATGGATTAACTCAATTCTATCGAACCCAAAATAATTTACAATTAAATTAATTACAACATGTTGGAAGAATCATCAATGATTACTTATCGAGTAATTATGAGATATCGAAACGCATTTAGACAATTTTTAATAGCAAAATAAAAAAAATTGCCAATGCACTTGCAATGAGATATTATATAATTCATAAATTGAAAGAATTGATGTTTTTTTTATGGAATATTGAAGAAACGAGTGTTTACGGTGTGAGATAAGCTTTTCAAGTTATCTATACAAAATGTGAAGCAGAAAGAGTGGGTTTCTCCGATTGTGCGATTTTTTGCAATTACTCTCCCCAGTTACTTGATTGACAATGAACTTGTTATAAAAAGTTGATTAATGAGAACTAAAATCGATGACTTTATGTTGAATCAAAGATGCCCTGGGGTACGTGGATCGTCAGCTGACGGATGAGCCTGAGGGGAATAACGAGACGAGTGTTTTAGCTGTAAGTCTCGTAAGAACGATAAAAACCGAGAGTGAACATGAGCAAGTGAGCAATTCCTGTTTGAGACAACAACAGGAGCATGAGCTTGACTATGGTGACGATGGCGGGGATAGTGTGGGCGTGCTGGAGGCGGTCCGACCGGAAATTGAAAATGGCGCCCTTGTCGAACCGACTGCACCCGAACCCGTTGCTATTTCACTCGTTATACCCGAACACCAACACACTACCACCACTGGATATACCTTGCATCAATTGGGATATCATTCTTCACATCACATCATTCACGAGAGGTGAGACAATTTATGCCACTCATTCAATTATTATTGTTTTAAAAATTTCTGTTTTTTTTTTTAAATTTATTGCTGGCGAATTTTGGGGACCGATTCAAGTATACACGGAGAGAAATATTTAGTAAAAATTACGGAACTTTCAGTTCAATTACCGATTACGGAGTTGATTTGAAAAATTTAAATGACGGTATCGTTATTTTTGACCGATTATTCAGATAAAAATTACGGAACACCGCGGAAAATTTCCATGACTTTAGATAAAAATTACGTGACAGTTCCGTAAAATTTCCGACAACCACATTTCGCTCCAGAATTACGGAAAATACACGTAATTTTTATTGAATATTTCTCTCAGTGTACTGTTAAAAAAAATTGCTTTCGACTTTTTGCGATTTTTGGAAATTTTTATTGGATTGGATTGGAATTTTGATGGACAAAATCTGCCGGAGAATGGATTTTTGAATTTTTATTTATTCTGGAATTCTGTCTTTTTTTAATTTTCCGAGTTTTCCACAATTTTGAGAGAAAAACTAAATCGGAGAATGGTGTAATTTAATAAATTTCCAAAAAAGATATTTTCTCTAATTTTGCCATAAACGTCGTGAAATTTCCGATATTTTCCACTATACGACAACGAAAGTTCAACGTATATCCTCGAGGTCTAGGGGTAAAAAATTTGAATCTGTCAATTCCTCAGGGATTATCTCCAGCAATCATCCCCAGTGTACGAAGGCGTTGACAACCCCCAGGAAGAGGAGGAGCAGAGTCAGCAGCAGGTCGTCTCCCTCCACCAGAATCATCATGATCTTCATCATTACACAGAGCTCGGTGGGGCTGGTACGGAGGTAGCTGTTCCCGAGGGTGGGGATAACAAGCACAGAGGGTCCGAGGCAACACTACCGTCTGAGGGAAATCGAGTTACCAGTCACATGCCACCCACCACAATGCTACGGTACAGTATCGAGCAACTCTCACCATCATCGAGCCAGAGTCAATCTCACATTGACCAGCATCACTCGCAGTTACATCGCCACAACGAGGAGCACAATCACATTGACAGTGACGAAAGACTGAGTGCTATTGCAGCGGCCATGAGGAATCCCAAGATAGGTGATTTTTCACTTGGTGTTTTGTTTCCAAATTTTGCAAGTGGCACTGGAGGTGCGAGTGACAGTGGACATCATCACATGGACGACGTATTGCCAGAGGACGCTTACGTCCAGATGAGAACTGGTGATGTTTCACCGCCAGTCAGAACTGGTAGCTCACCAGGATCCAGCAGAAGTCCTCATGATGATCAGGGAATCAATTCGCCACATCGACACGAAGGGGGATACAGCCCCAGTGATCAGGGGAGACTCCAGAATTTTACACATCTCACTGCTATGCAACCACCACCCTCCAATGTCCAGGGGGGACACATACTCGAGGCAAGTGACAGGGTATCCGATCAAATCTACATCGATGCCATGTATCACTCCTCTGGAACACCTCATCATCATCATCAGGATCACGAGCAGAACTCCAATCCACATTCACCCAGTGGCTCATTAAGGTCAGTTCATCACTAATTTTTCACTCTCAATCTCAATATCGCACTTAAAATCAGAAGTTATCGATTGCCTTTCAATTCTCATTGAAATTTTATTCATCAACACTAATTTCACCTTAATAATTGAATCCGTTGTGATTCGTGTTATTTCCGTCAATTACTCGTTTTCTCCGTTTTTATTGAAATTCTCGGGAAATCGTCATTAAATCAATAACAAATTTTCAACAATTAAAATTATTGGTAAAATAATAAATGGTGCGTGATAATGAGTGATTAAACAATGAGAGAAGAGGATTCTGTCAAAATTATTATTTCCGAATCGAGAGACTTTCTTTTCTCGATGCCGACACGTAGAATCCCCAGGGGGTGAAAAAAAAATACAAAGTGAGAAGGTGGCGGGGGGGAATGTACACGTCATTTAGGTGCCCCGCGAAAATATTTGCCCATTGGGGTACCGGTGAGGGTTGTGAAGAGGGCTTTGTGTGCACAAGGTCCGAGATCCCTGTTGAAGGGACTTTTCAGGTTTCGAGGGAGGGAGGGGTGTAAAACGATGCACCTCGACCCTATGCCAATAGCCGGTGAAAACTGAGAGTTTATTTTCATTCTCAGTTTATTGTTTTCGGAAGAACAACAAACAGCCGAGAATATTGGGGGATTGATTCGAATTTTTTTTTTTTTTGGTGGCGAGTGGTTGTGGGCCGAGGGGGAAGACGAGGGCTATTATCGGGTACGATGTTATCTTTTGAGGTTCATTTCAACAATCGGCTACTAGGTTGATTCAATTGAGACGTTTACTCGGAACAAACTCGTTGTCAATTCGTTACAATTAAAAGTTTACACATGATATCTGATGGCGATAATGTATCGAGTTGACGGGATTTGTGGGGGGAGGTTTGAATGTTACAGATCTTTCAGGGTGGGAAATATTGGATGGATTATTTTTTGTTGCTCACGAAAAAAAATTATTGTAAAATAACCCTTGAATCCTATGATAATCAATTAAAATTAGTAAATACGATTGATTGATTCTTATATTATAGTCATTAATATAGAATCATCAATTGAGGTATTTTTTAAAATAAATGAGAGGGTGAATTTTGAAATAATTTTTTTTTCATGTGATTTATAGAAATTGATCTGGAGGAGAGGTTTGTGAGGTCCGCTCTTTCCTGTTGAGATATTTGCAGGATATTTGTGTTGTGATTCATCTCTGGATTTATCAAGAGTGAATGCACTCAAAGAGAAAAAAATTTTGAAGAGGATATTTTAAAATTTCTCGGGTTGAACCACTGATTGATTGCATTGTCATTTTTTTTTGGTAGCTTATGCATTCGGAGTAACGGAGTTCAGATAAAATATATTTAAAATAATACCGGATGGGTTCGTTCACCCTGTCAAATTTTTACGTGAAACAGAGCCTCAACCTTTGAACTGATAACACCCCGGGAAAGATTTCAAAGTCCTGCGGAAGTGCCACGTGCGGGTGGCACGTGTACCCCAAGTTGCTTGGAGAACTCATGCACATCAGAACTTCAATTAGTCCCCCAAACACCCCTTTGTACTACCTATAAATACATAATTATCAATTATGTATTTGTAAAAATACCCACAAAGTCACAAAGTCGTCCGAATTTAAAATAATATGCATTTGAATTCATATTCGCATTAATCTTGAAAAATCCAGAGAGTCAGGTTATTGATTTTAAATAAATTCAAAAAATTCAATTCATTTTTAAATAAAAATATTAAATGATTCGTTAATGAAAAATTGTTAAAAATGTCCATTTTTTTCCTTGAAATGGCAAGTGTAATTTTGCAATAATGCAGAGTTGCGAAGAAATAGGTAAAGGTCAGGGTAAGTTGTGCTCCGAATTTCTCTTCCTGAAGTTCTGACAACCGAAAATAAACCGATAAATTAATTGATCACCTAGAATGCCCAAAAATTCAATAACCTACCACCACTTGCCGTAAACTAAACAATAAACAAAAACCGAGTATAACCCAGGAAGAATGGACCAAAACATCGAAACACGATTTCAATTCCGATGAAATTTAATAACATTTGCATCCTACAGTTGTAAAGCTGTCAATACACTTCTTCAACAATCCACGAGTCATTGAACTCTTTCAAATTTCCGTATTCACTCGGTTTCACAATTATTCCCACCAACTGCCAACAACAAATCTGAATAAACCCGAGACCTCAAATACTCGTCCACTCTCACTCATTGAGTCTCCGACAAAATAATAAATATTACTCATAAGTAGTACTCACAACAAACCAAGTAATAAACAACAACAAAAAATTAAAACTCACACCCGATTCTACTCTACTTGTACTTGGAGTGGCAAAAAATTTTCTTGAGCCTAGGTACCCGTAAAGAAATCTATTGTCAGTTGATAGTTAATCACAATAGTTTATTATGCTGCAGGAAACTAGCTAGACCCCAATAACATGCGGTAAAATTGAGAAGACCTCAAAATAAAAATCAAAATAAAAAATAAAAATAAAGATCCAATATAAACACGAGAAAAAAAATCAAGTGAGAATAATGATGACGTGTTCTTAACAAAAAAAAAATAAAAGAAAGGGGGATAAAAGGTAAAATGGTAGGAGGATAGTAGGGGGCGTAAGGGTGAGGAAGGGGGCTTAGGGGGTGGGAGGGGGTGGGGGCTCAAGGTGGAAAAGAGTGGAGAGTGCGAGGGAATTCGAGGGGGGCTTGGGGAGACGTGGGGGATTGAGAATAAGTGCTGAAGAAGTTGGAGAAGGGAGAAAGCTCGAGAGTGCGTTGGTAAAGGCGCTGGAGGGGAAATCCTTGGCCACCTTGGAGGACCGCCACGACGTACTGTCTGTAGTGGCTACGGTTGGTGTCTCTGGACGTTTTCAGTTCAGTTCTTGTCTGCACGGTGACAGATACGGGTCACCTACTCCTTCCTGCATTTTTTAACGTGATTTTTTTTCTCACTTTTTCCCCCATTTTTTTCGTGGGACTCTGAAAGCAAGAGCCGAGACCAATCTCCAAGATGCAGTGAGTTATTATTTCATTGTTTTGAATTTTACTCCATTCCTTTTTCTGTCTTCTTTCATTTTTCGTCATTTTTTTGTGTTTTTTTTTTTTTATTATTTTATTTCTTATGGGGGAAGACTACTCGCTGACCATTGGTTGAAACGGGAAAAGAGGAAGAAGACTGATAAGAATTTTTCAATGAAGGGAGGTGAATCGATATCGGAATAATATTCGTGTCAATATTTAGCGACTTTCCTCGTCTTTATTTTTTTGGTATGTCTCGGTGAGAGAGGGGGCACCCCGTAATCTCGATGCGACTGAACAAATATAAAAATAGTGCTCTACTTTATCAATGGTAACTTTGCACTGATAAAAATACAACGAATATCGGAGATGACGAGTTCATAGGTAAATATGTTGTCGATTTATTGAGGGTTGTTGGCCAAATATTTGTGGGGAATTTCGGGCATGAGATGGATGAGGGGGTCGGGGGGGGGGAGGTATGGGGGCAGTGTGACACCTTATCATGCGTGATCTCCAGTGGCAGTACGTCGACTTGGGGGGACAGGGCTATAACCTCGGAGTGATATTAAATTTCGCGGATTCGGCTTATTCTCCCTGGTGAATACTGCATCTTGATCCCTGGGAAATTTTCACGACGTCATTAACTAATGAAGCATTAACTAATGAACAATTCTTTATTTGTTGGTGGATGAAGAGGGAGGCTGGGGAGTATAGATTATGGAATATATATTATTAGGTGGGAAAAAAAAAAATGACTGCGCATTTCTGGGAAGAAATTTGAGATGCGTCATTGGGGATACGAGTTGAATCGTGTCAATTGTTGTATTAGTAAACGCACACTAGTTGATAACTCGTGGAAAAATAAATCCTCATTTCTCGCTAATGTATCGAAATCCACCTTCCTGTTACGTCAGTATTTCCATTGAGAATGGAGACCACCCTGTGACCCATTGCGAGATCAAATAACGGATGGTCCGAATCGATTGAAACATTACCCAGTACTTAGGGACATTGGGTAAGCAGAGGTGCTAGGAACTCTTAGTACAAGTAGATGCACTTTTCCGATTACTGTGTACCGGAGTTACACGAGAACGGGTTTTCTTCCTTCCGCTTCTGGTTAACGCCGTTGTACCGTTTTTTTATGGTCAATGGGTGGCACGTGTTCTTTTTGAGAATATAAATCTCGGTTTGAGGAGTCATTGGGATTTTAATTAATGAATCATTAATTGGGGAGAGATTTTTCATCGTTTTAGACAACTCCGTGGTCACTTCAATTGCATTCTCAATTATGTGCGGTTTGAGTTAATTAATTGGAGAGAAATTGATAGATATTTCTGTCGGAAAGTCAGCGGAATATTTGATTGACTTTAATTTACGGTTTCGCTACTAAAACCATTTGCGTCATTCTCCGATTAGTTGCTCTGAGTATTTATTTTCAATGTTATGAATTTAATTCCGTCGTGAGATTAAATTATTCACGGAAATTCTCATCCATCTTGCCAGCTCAGTAAAATCCAATCTACGATACTAAAAAATTATTTCTATTTCTCATTACACAATAAAAAAGGCAGAAATATAAACCGCGGTAAAAAATGGCGAAATGTTTTTTTCCTTTTTCGAATAAATATTCTGGTTTCAAGGATAATATCAAAACGATCGTCGCGATTCCGAGTTTTGCTAGAAAATCACGAGGAAAAAAATCGGCACAAAAGAATTATTTATCTGAGGGTAATAAAAATCTCGTAAATTTAGGAAATAACTCCCTGTATTTTCCGCTTCCTCAATCTCCCTGAGATTCGCTGACTCAAATCATCCTCAACTTATTTATTTATTTTTTGGTGATACGTCAAATCAATTCGCGACCTGTCCCAACTTTTTATTCCTGTCTAAGCGAATTTCGAGTCGTACAATAACTCATCGACACGCGATATCACGTTACAATTCCCGACATTTATTTAATCATCAAACTTGTGGATGACGGAAATCGAGTCATCATCACCAATTCGCGGGTGATTAATATCGGTCGTTTTTTTCTCCAATTTCTCATTCTAAGATGATTCGACAATTCATTAGAGGCTGAATAATGAGTCTTTCAGAATGATAAAGTGCAAAAAGCAGTTGCACGCGTATGGCCTATCGCCTTTATTTTGCTAAAACGTCAGCGGAGCACGTTTCACCGTCAGTACGTGCCTATAATCTTCGGTCTCACTTCAAGGTTACGGAATTTACATTAATGTTTAAAAAAAAGAAAAACACTCAATGTTGCCCACCTATTATCACTCTCACCTGCGAAACCATTGGAGTTTTGCATGCATTTCTTCAATTTTCGTATGGAACTCCAGTAAAAAAAATCGCAGATATATTTATTAATTTCAGTATTATTCTATTCACCAGTGTAGATGGAAAAAAAAAATTAATGTCTTAGGGAAAATGTCTAGTACTCGATATAATTCGATACAATCCTGTTGATTTAATTGAGTTGATTAGGAAAATAGAAAAATTAATGAAATATTGGGTAAAGAGCAGCGAATTTTGCCTCGAAAGATTTCCAGCTCTGGATATTTTTTATTTTGCACATGCAGGCAATAAAAAATATATGTATGAAAATAAAAATGTTTGTCGAATTGCTTGAAACGGAAGAAGTGAGTCATGGTGGAATGTAGAGCAGTCCAACAGTTTCTGAGATAAGAGAAGACGCCACTGGATGTGGTGTGTCTAGGGAATGCGGATTGGGGGGTCGATAATCCGTTGGTGTATTGCTTTCCCCTCAGGTATACTTAAAAAAGCTCTGAACAGGGCTCGTAGCTCAGCCAGGTAAAACGATGTCAAAGCATGTTAATGGAGTACTCGTGTCCCCTTGAAGGAAATAAAGGAAAGACGAGTCGGAAAAACCTGAGGCACGCGCCCGCATTCGTACGCTCGAACTCCGGAGTTCCGGTCTCCTGCGAGGGTACCCACTCACTTCCGGTTTCAATCCTCCCTCGTGCCCCTTGATACCGAGGTTTCACCCCCCCGCACGACAAATCCCCACGAATTCGAGTGAAAATTCACGATTTTTTGCTATAAAATTAATATTAGGAATAAATTTATAACGAAATTTATACTAACGCTTTCATTTTTTGTAGTGGAAGTCAGGAGTTGAAAAATAAAATGATTAAAAACTGTCAATTATAAAACCAGACGTGAATACGCCTGCCAATTCCCCGGAGTGTGGGCGTGCGCCAGACACTCCTTCCTTCTCTGTAACTGAACATCGTTTTTTTTTTTTTTCGTTTTTCGAAAAATTAATTTTATTGAACTTCTCGTGTTGCAGTTCAACATTGTATCGCACGATGAACACAGTGGCTACGATGGGCGGTGGAACCGGGGGAACTGGAAACTATACCCTTCCTTACATGAGTGCAACATCCGCGGAACTCGCGGGGTCACCACAACTCTGGGGCAGTTCAGGTAAACAGAAGATCACTCAGGCTGAGTGTAATTGAATGAAATATTAAACTCCACCATTTTGAAAATATCCGTATAATTTTCTAAATTTTTCTAATGTCAATTAAAAACGATCACTAACTTTCCATTCGTCTTAACAATTTATTATTTTCAATATTATTCAAATAGAATTGAATTTTCAGTAAATTAAAAATTGGAGGAAATAATTTCTTGAATTTTCGACAATTTTCTGAAAATAGAAAATTACCAGAATTTCAAAATTCAAAAAAAATATATATATATTAGCTGACTCCTTAACGAAGAATTGACTAAAATTTCTCATCATATCGTTGTCTTTAAAAATTTGAAGTTTTTCTACTTGAAATTTCAAGTGCCCATTCACTGGGCCCGTATTTCCTGAATGAGTATGTGATAATTGTGATGGAATGAAAATTATGGGAATAGGTTTGGGCAGTACCCTATCGGCCCTTCCAGAGGAGTACGGAAGTAAATCGACGCCAACAGCGACACACCAGACTCTTCCGGCATTTTCTCAGCCCTTTGGCAGTCGTCCCAGCTTCCGGGGCTACTCCTCATACTCTTCTCCACAGCCAACTGGAGTCACCGGCACCACAACAGCCACCGATGCCTCATGGCCCTATCCTTCACCCGGCAATGATGCTCTCACAGGGTCTTACGGGAGCGTCGCGACGCCCGCGAGACGTCAGACGACAAACACATCAAATCCACATCCACAACTCAGCGCAGCTGCCAGTCTCTCAGCCAGTGAGTATTTTCCACAATTACTCCATCCAATCATTGCACCAAATTTCGACCACCATTTTCTTTTTTTTTAGGATTTTTTTATTGCACTTCAGTGCCTTAGATAATGAATTATTTCGCAATTCCAAATTCCAAATTCAAAATTACGCAATCGATTTAAAAAAACGTATTGCTATTCCAATTATATTTACTAATAATTGAATATTAATATCAATTATTTTAAATCGATGTGAACCATTTCACCATTTAATTTTTGAGTTCATAAAAATTTCATTTCTTCAAGTTTATTATTGTAGTCTGTACGAAAGAGTTTCGATGGTATTGGCACAAGTATTCACCTATACTTAGGAATAATCAATGGTATTTGAAAAACAACCGAGTAATTTTCCTTCGAGCCAACAAATATTTATTGATCATCCTCGAATAATTCACTCCACCGTTGAGTCACGTACATTGTGATTAAAAGTGTGAACCCGTCACGTTTTGAGATTGCAGAATCTCAAGATTCGTGACAACCACTCGCGTTCCACAGTCAGTTGGTTGACAGCCTTGAGTCATATCATCGTCATAAGATAATCCCAGGGAATGCATCGGTATTAATTACAAATAAACCAGGGAAAACTGAAAACTGGCTAAATATTTTCCCTCGTGTTCTCTCCATCGGGATCGTTTGACATTTGTGGGGTGAAGTGGCCGCTCTTTTGCGGCTCTTGAGGGCAAGATCATGCCGATGATCTGAAGATAAGCAGACATGAGCTCTGGGTGGCTCTAATTGCTCATGTGGAGATCGTCAACCATTTGAGTCTAGGGGGTGGGGCTGTCATAAATCCCAAGCAACATGAAAATTCGAAAAACCTAAAACATGAGATTTTATTTCTTATGAAATCAAACCAAAACCTTTCGGTTTATTTTTTCATTCATAATCACCACGAGGTGCACATGATCCTAATGTGTAGCTCTTCCATTGGCTCGCCTTCCCCTGCCTACATGAAATCGCTCTTATAATTTTTAATGTCCCACGATCTTCCATCGTGTTTCTCAAACCATAAATACGAAGTCGAAGGTTAATGTGAACATCGGGCTTGTAACGAATCATTTGGGTTGACTCAAACGAGAGAGAGCGAAACATGGAAGTGTGAGGGATCCTATTTCGTCCATAAATTTTGAGCACTGGGGGTGATCCCAAGTGTTTCCAAATGAAAAAAAGCTTCACCGATCGATTTCGCCGGTTAAAAAAAAAACCACAACCAATAATTCATCTCCGGTTGTCCCCAAATCGGTTCCAATAAAAATTGGTTGTCAATTTGTCGATGAATCACGTGTAGAGCATGATCCACCTGACCCAAGAATTCAGATTTATCACGCATAAGAAGACTAGGTTGTCCGGTATCTGATAATAATTATCTGTTGAACGGTTCAGCGACTGCCGAGGGGCTGAGAAATAATGTATCAACATTCAAAGTGGCAATTCATGATAATTCTCACAGACATAAATTTATCTGCAAATTGGGACGAGTGAAAACAGCAGTAAGAATGTTGGTCTGTAAAAAAGTAAAGTGTCATGAAAATAATCTCAATGCGAATTGATTTGATTAGAAGCAATGAAAGGATTTTTTTTTTGACGATTCAGATGAAACAAGTAGGAAGAGATATCCAAACCCTGACCTAGACTTTGACGTAGGTGTAATCGAGTTGTGTCTACGAGTGATACGTACCAATGATTAGGGCTTTGTATCTATCCCACAGCGATAAATTGGGTATTTCAACGTCGACGACACCTAAGTATCTAATCTACACTTAACGATACCAACGCTGTGGTTTTGTTTAGGTTCGTAACCACCAGATTGACGTAATTTGTATAATGAACGATTTTTTATGATATTTTATCGAAGTTCAATTACACTCGAATTTTTTATTCCGAATGGAAGAGTGTTAACCAATCAAATTCAAAATTCATGTTTCTTACGTCATATCAACTCCACATGATTCCCAAAATGCGATTATGTGTATCCGTGAAATTAAATGATTTTTTTTTGTAACTTTAGTCATCGGTGTTAATTAGAACTTAATGTATTTATTAATTGATTATTTTTCGCGTTTTATTTGTGAGTTTTTAGAATTTGTTTCGATGTCTTATGGACCGAGTCGGAAGATGTAAACAAGATAGATGAATGTCGTATTAATATATAGGAGAGAGTGATCAATATTTTTATTCTGGAAATATTTCAACTGTGAGGCCGTCACGGTATTCTATTTTAATCGACTCTAATTACAGTTTGAAATAATAGTTTATTATTGTCGGGCGATAGCTATATTGATATAATTTTTTAGATAACCATTCTAAATTACACTGGTAGTTTATCAGCGAAAAATAACTACATAATATGCAATGAAAAATCAATTCTCACTTGTTTTAAAAGTAATGAGTAAAATGGAGATCGAATCCGAGTGGATCACGTAAGGGAGATTATTTCGGGAGTGACCCCCATGAACTTTGCCTGTCCCCTCCGACGAGAAGACACTCTTATCACTATTAAAAATGGCATTGGCACTGAAAAATATGGAGATTGAGGGATTGAATGAGTTCGTCAGGAATATAATTTTTTCAAACGAAAGATTTGAAGAATCATTTATGGAGTACTTTAAGCCAATGGTAAGATGGAATCGTGGATGAGAAAATCTTCCATCTGTGAGGAGAAAATATAAAATAAAAAATGTGGGGTGGATGTTTCTTTGAAGGTACCGACGACCTCAAGTGTTTTCCCTCGGTGAATTCAAGTATCCCAGCCCTTCGGTACCTCAAGCCTGGGCCACGTGGCCCTCACCCCTAAAATAATGGATTATGATCTGGGGCTAGTGCCCTGATGGCTTATTGAGGGGAAAATCCTCATGTCCCCAGGTTCATCGAATTATTTCTCGTCCATCATTGCACATTCTTTTACTCGTTTCGGCGTCGAGGAGGCGCGGGAGCGCAATACGAACCCATTCCCTCTTTCAGTTATGCTTACATAATATCCGATTGCGTACCGATGAACATCCTTAAAGTATCCTAGTACTTTAAATGCACCATTACGGCAATATGATCTACTTCTTATCAAACATTACCACTTCCTGTCTTTCAATATTTCTCAGATTTATAAGTGAGTAAAAACAATACTGCAAAAAGTAAACAGAGAAATAATTAGTAAAAATTACAGAACTTTCAGTTTGCTTTCCGATTATGGAATAAATTACGGAACGCCGCAGAAAAATTCCGAAGTTATTCACTTTAGATAAAAATTACTATTAATTTTTATTGAATATTATCCTCCGGGTGACCTCGGGACTTAAAAATTGAAGGTTGTCGCAAGTCATTAATGAGGTGACTAATTAATTCGGATAAGTGATTTTTTGGTTCTCAATAATAATATTTCTGTGAGTTAAAGATGGAGAAATTTTGAATAGTTTAGTAGCTTCCCAAGAAAATTTCCCAATATAATTTGTAGTTTCTCCATAATTCGACACGCATATTCATGCTGAATATTGCAGCCTTGCATTCTACACTGGTAGAATAAAGTATTTGTTTTAATAATCTTAACTGCCATTTAACAGCAATTTTTTTACAACTTACCACGGAAATGTCCAAGAGTTCGAGATAAAAACCGGAGTTTTACCCTTCAATTTTATTTTCGCTTCATTCTGATAATTCCCAGTGGTTTCCACTTCTCAGTGAACAGCAGCGATTGCCAGTAATATTATATTTTATATTATTTCCATTAACATTTACTCCCCAATTCGAATAAAAAATCCAGAGAAATTTTTCCCCAATAATGAAAATTTGCCCGAATACATCAGATATTAATTAATCGACGAACAATTTCCCATGAACTTTTTCATTTTTCATGTCGTTAAAATGCTCAATTTTCTCGATTGACATTTCGCGCACATTTTTGTAATGGGCCAGTGTAATTAATTATTATTATTTTCTTGGAAATTCTGGTTAACAGGTAGTGATTTTTTTTAATGGTTTCTGGAATAATTCCAAGCGGAGCCGTGGAGTTCCCGGGGTACTTGTGACGTTATCGGTAATCGCCGGAAGCCGATGATAACGCCATGTCCGCTTGCCACCCCCTTCACCTACTCGCCCCCTCTGTACAACCCCCCTCACCACCCCCTCTAGGCTTTGTCACTCCGTTAGTTTTTCTAGCATTTATTTTTTCTCTTGATATTTTAAACGTTCCCGTTAAACTTCCTCCCGACGCAAATATTTTACTGGTTACGAAAACATGGGTTTTACGGGCTTTGAACAATACCAAGGTCAGACATAGTCAGCCTCCATTCAATGGGGTTCTTTGGGATCATTGCCAATTGTTCAAGATAATGAGCTGACGTAAGGTTTATGATTTACACGTGTTTTTGAATAACTGAAGTGCATTGCCAGTATAACCGATGCTTTATAATATTTTCTAAGCGTTCAGAATAGGCTGCAGACGAAGCTGTTATGAATCATCAATTTGCCTTCGGGGAATTGTTTTAGAAATCTCTTGTCAGATTTTAATGCGGGGAAAATACAGGAGTTGGGAGTGATTTTGTCTGTGTCAGTAATTATTCGTTTAGCTGAGTGGTCATTTGCCTTCGGGGAAAATTCTTTGGGAAAAATTAGGTATTGGTAATTAAGAAATTTTCAATTGTTGGAGGGAAATTTCTGTTTCTCACGTAGAGCGGAGAAAACGGGTGAAAATCATTCTGCTTTTCACGGTTCGACATGACCTGAACGAAAAAAGACATCGCGATATCGAATGCAGCGTTAATTAATTCAAAACCCATGCAGCCGCACGTGACTCATTACTCTGTGCCAATCTGTCGAAACAGTAAATAAATAAATATTCATCATATCTCATAAGTTAAAACAATCGTTTTTAAGAGATAGGGCATGCATGTCGAAAATATGATAAGTTGATTAAAACCACTAATTAACCGGGATTAAAAAAATCACAGAGTCACGATCGATCCGAGATGATATCCAAGTGTTTTGACAATTGTGGGTTTTTTAAAATTGTTTATAAACTTATTATTTTAATATATGTATGAGAGTAGAAGATTCTGAGTTTCTAGTGCACTTGGACATCTTGAAATTAGAAATAATGAGTTAGGAAAATAATCGGAGAGTAATACTTTAGGAAAATTCTCGGGCGGGTGTGAATAAGTCGATAAAAATTTTCAATTAGGTCCATAATTCTAGAGTAAATTTTACCCAAAAATTATGCAAACAACACTGAGAGAGATATTCAACAAAAACTTTAAATCGCTTCCGTAATTCCAGAGCGAAATGCAATCGAAGGAAATTTCACGGAAGTGTCACGGTTCCTTCTGAAAAATGGCAATATCCTCAATTAAATTTCCTGAATCACTTCCGGAGAGAATATTTCCCTCAGTGCATGCAAAAATTTAGTGAAATTCCTAAAAACAATTAATACGAGAGAATTTTATTGCACCATTCGCCGTCACACGGTGGGACCAATGGTCCCTAACTATTAATCCCCCGAACACCACAGGAGCTTCAAAATTTATCAAACATCTTGCTCCAAATTCCCTGCAAGATTTTCAAGAGAAAATAATGGGTTTATCCCTGGTAATCATTTAACTTGACGAACTCGAGTCATTCATTAGTTTGAAACTGACTAATGGAGATTAATTCCAGTAGTATTGATAAACGCGTATGTAACATATCGACTCAATTAAACTCGACAAATCTCCAAGTACTAACTGTTTAATCAAATTCTATTAATTGATTGCAATGACAATAAAGAAATATGGAATAATTTTGAAGCTCTGGGGGTATTACAAGTGAGAATTTTCCAAAAGAATGAATCTTCATGTGTTAAAACTGCAATGAATAAAAAAACGCAGTGAACATCGAGGCGGAATACTTTACGGAGGGTCGTGAATGCGTGAACTGTGGGGCAATATCGACCCCACTTTGGCGACGAGATGGCACAGGACATTATCTGTGCAATGCTTGCGGCCTGTACCACAAGATGAACGGAATGAATCGGCCCCTGGTCAAGCAACCACGGCGACTGGTAAGCAAAGGCTCCGTCAACAAACTCAAAAGTCAATCAACAAAATCGAGAACAATTAACCAACAGATCCCATCGATCCTCGATTAATCCGACTTTTTGATTGACCGATATATCCCACGGGTTTAAGAGAGAGTCCAGGAGCCTGTGTGGAGATTCGCCCGTGTTTGCCTGCCGTTCATGTACCGATATTTTTTTTTTCCTTTTTTTTTCAATCTTTTTACTCTCGCTATGGGACACGAGACTGTCGAAATTAGATGAAAAAAAGTTGGATGACCCTTAACGTTTGGCCTAATGTCTGTTTCAGTGGCGGACTCGGGCGAATACTACAAAGGCTTCTATGGGTATAGTGGCGCCCGTCGTCCCCTAGAGGAGAAATCGACCCGCCGCTTGGTAGGTGTCATCCAAAACCTCGCTGTCAGCATTTTCTTTATTTTCCAAACATCCTATTTTTTTTTCTTTTCTCACTATTAATCTGTCACTGTTGATTACTTCATTAGCATTTTACATCATCTCTGGGTCTTTGGTAGAAATTTGACATTGCTAATAACACCTGTACGAATTACTTAAAAATAATTCTAATGTAAGGTAAAAATTTGCTAAAAATTTGATTAAAATCATCAACTAAAATGCGATTTTGTGAATTCTCTTGGATTTCAGTGAAAATTTTTGAAATGTATTCTTAACATTATTTGGAATATTTCTCGCATTTCATGTCGTACAACAGGTACAAGTACTTTGTAAATTAAAGAAATGATGTTTTGGATGTTCGGATATTTTATCATCATTTGTTGCTTATAAATTTGATGATCATTGATTAATTATGATTAATTAGTTTTGCATTGTCACTCATTCATGCACTCATGGGGTTGAAATCATCGCAGGATTATCTGCTTCACTTATTCATTCACTTGAGCAATATTTTTTTGTAGCTTGAGGTGCCACTATACCCATGGTATACCACTCTCATTCTTGAAGTCACGCCTGGTATTGGAATTATTATTACTTACTCTGAAATGGTATTAACAAAATTTACCTCAAACTCAATATTTTTAGCTGGTCTTTCAGGCGTGACTTCGCAACCGGGTGGCTCTCTCTCTTTCTCTTCCTCTCTCTATCGAAAAAAAACTCGTAGAAATCAGATTTCAATTAACATTTCTTATTTCTCCAGTCGGCATCGAGACGCGTTGGATTGTCATGCAGCAATTGTCAGACAACTGTGACATCTCTCTGGCGTAGAAATACATGTGGTGAACCAGTTTGCAATGCCTGTGGACTCTATTTCAAGCTACATTCCGTCAACAGGCCGCTATCCATGAAGAAGGACAACATTCAGACTCGCAAGAGAAAACCAAAGGGTGCAATGAAGTCGTCCGATACACCACTCTCAAATAATGGCCTCACTTGTGCTGTTACCATCAAGAGAAATAACAATAACAACAATTTGAAGTTGGAAACTGGTAAGGAGAGATTCATTTTATAAATACATTTATGAATGGTTTTTCCTAACATGATTCATGATTCATTTTTTAAGACATCATCATATCGAAATAAATTAAACTGAATATTAATTTTCAGATAACTATGACTTGCGGATGGCGCACTCGAACGTTTCGCAGCCGACGTACCCAAGTGCCTTGTACTCAGAAAATTCGCAAGTGAGCAGAATAGTGTCAGCATCCTACCAATCAAATCCAAACATGTATTATGACATGTTGGCAAGTCAGCAGCACCAGGCGCAGCAGCATCTCCTAGACTGTCACTCGCCAAAGATCGAGTGTCCATCACCTCCGAGAGGCTCCCCAGGAATAATCTCCGCAAATCACTCTCCAAACCATCACCTAACGTCCTCCCATATCGTTAACCTGGGCAACTCCTCGCCCAACATCACCAACAAGCACATGATGGACAATGGACACATGGAGCGACCCACAGTCGTCTCGATATCTTCATAAGGCAATATACACGGAGCTTAATGCCATTATTAAGTTGTTTATTAAAATTGAAGGGTAATTGAGGAGTTGTAAATTGAGATGATCGTAGGTGATTGTCGTTCAAGTGCCCCTGTACATAATTTTATTTTTCAATTGGAGCTCATGACGATGGCGCTGATGAGTCCAGGAGCTTGATGATATTCTTAAGGTTTTATTTTCATTTAATTTTTATTCAGTGATTTATCTTTCACTTATCAACGTTTCTTCGCCAAAGAAATGCACAACTACTGGTAGCACCGTACCGAATTGACGTTTTTTTTCTTCTGTACATAGCGCGTTTTTTTTTCTAAATTTTTGGATATTTTTAAGATTTATGTAGGTAAATGATTGTTTTAAGGTGTGAGATATTAAAGAAAAGTTTCTGGATCGATCGGATCATTGGAGAAATTGGTTCCTCGAGGCTGTAGGGAATCTGTTTCTTCTTTAAAATTGTTGATAAATCATTGATGATTGTAAAAATTAACACCATGGCTTACTGTCGATATATTGACATGTATCGTGGAAACAGTTATTTTTTAATAAAATGGGATATTTGAAGATATATACATTGATACTACATTTTTTTACTGCAATGAGAATAAGTGTCGATTGAACGCATACGTTCTTGACTGAAATTTGCAATGAACTTTATTATTCAGGAGTAATCAACTTCAATCTTCAAATTCGTATCGTAATCGTAATATTTGAAATTGATTATAAACTTGAATCAATCCTGCGCTCACTTGAACCAAGTAAATGCAGATTTTTATTTCGGACTTGAATGAAGAAAAATTATTAAATGACGATCAATCTCGTAAATAGTTGGTTGACGCTTTTGTTCTCTCAGTGTAGTGGATCAGTGGATTTGTTCTCTGCTAGGTGGGGTAATCATGATATTTGATTGATTTTTCAAAACCTCCTGTCTCGTAGGTTGATATTGTTATCAGCATTGTTGAAGCCCGGTGTATACTTTGTTGCCATGACACCACCCTTTTGATAACGGATGACTCTCGAGATTTCACTGTATACCGAAGGCTGAAACAGTTTGTTTATTTTTGGAAATTCAAAGCGGAAAGGTGAAAGAACTAGAATCCAAGTGCCGCGTGATAATTTGGAGAGGTGAAAAGATCACTGTGCGTTCATAAAAATGCTGGATCAGGTTCCTGTGGGTAATCTTTTTTCTTCTCACATTTTTCCTGCTTCCGAGGGTAAAATGATAATGACAGGCCCTAGTGTAGTAAATTTTTGTAAAAAAGAAAAGAAAAGAGACATAATGCACACGCAGATGAAAAAATTCACACCCAATGATATTGAAAATTAAAAAAAGATTGAATTAACGACCGAGTAGCCTCCGAATTGATGAGTGAATGCGTACCCGTCAGGGATGTCGTTTTCTGGTGATTTTTATCAATAGATATTATATGAAAAATCATAGAACTTTATTATATTGTTATTTTAATTGCGAAATACTTGGTGGAAAATAAAAATATGGTTTTGAAAAAATGCAGATTTGAGATCTCCGGTAGTCGTGATTACCTCTGAAAGAAAAAAAAATGTAAACGTTCGTGTATTGTCAGCTAGGCGGCAGCATTGCCGTTTATTCACACCTTGTAGCGCACCTGTGTCAAGTAGACAGCCCAGACCGCGTTACCACAAACACAGGGTAACGAGAGAGCAGTCTCTCGTACCGAGTCTATCGTCGAAAGAAGGTATTATCGAGTAACGATCACGAGACGGAAGAAATCCTCAAGCTCTCCTCACCCATCCCGACCCGTTTCTTCAGCAATATTTATTATCCGGGAGCCGATCATCCTGGAGAACCGAGAGGAGACCCACCAGGTGAGTCCTCCATTCTCACCACTAATTTTGTAATTACTAACGCCACTGTGATTAATCCACCCACGTAATTGATCTGACGAACGACATCTTTTTTTGGCCTCGAACCAATAATAAAATAACAAATGGAAATTTTCAAGAATATTCCTAACGCACGTGCGTTTTCTTATCTTCACTGGAATTTCGGGACATTTGTAGCTCGGAAAATCTCGGAATTTGTTATCTGATTGACAGAAAAAAATTATTTGTCCACAGAAATTAAAATCACATTTCTGAAAGTTTCCAACTAAATTTCACGTTTCATACACTAATTAAGTTGCAGCTGTGCCCGTCGTGTTCCTAACACTCGATTTCACTCATTCGGTCTTTAAATATTTCCTTTTCATTCGTTTTGAGTTCTGACGTCTTTCAATTTTATTAGGTTGAATCCATATTTCAGTTTGCCGTCTAGATCCGTTTATTCTCGATTACTGGTGTCAACGTGGTTCAATATTCCTCCGAATGTGTGGCCCGTACATATTTCTCTTTTTTGTTCTTTTTAAAGTCGAATCGATCGCCCTCGCGGACCAGACTGTTTGAAAAACACACGACACACACGTTTTTTATTACACCTTTGGGTGTAAAACTAGGTTTCCACCTGCACAAGGAGAAAATTTCGGTAACACTCCACATCATTAAATTGAATTAAATAGGCATGTAATCCAATTTTTATTAAAGAACTTTCACGTAATTTTTATGGAGATTGTCTTCGTACGGATTTTAGACATTTCACGCACTTGTAGTTTATCACTTCAATTGATATTTTCGGGATATTTAAATTGACGATTGCCCAGAGGATCCGGTGGTCTCTGGTTGAAGTATCGGGCGAGAAATCTGAAATCGATGGATTCTCGTGGCGACGGGACCGAGGCACCAGGTACGTCTGGCACGAAACTATCCGTCGCCAGGAGGTGCCAGATAGCCCCTGGCGCAGATAATATTTTATTAATCATTAAACACATAACCGTTTGCTGTACATATAAGATAATGGAAATAATATCAGGCAATAGCGATAATGCTGTTTGTCATACGCTAATTATTGGTCCGACTGACATTACAGTATTGTCGGCGCGAAGGAGAGGAGCTCGCGTATACCATCATTTTCAATTTACTCAGAACATTTATCCGAGTTATTGTTCATTGATAAAAAAATTGAAATTGTTGACTGCTAAAAGTAATTTGAAAGTTTTGGAACTGGTCATTTTAGTTAATATTTCATTGTGAATCTGCGATGGAATTCACCGCGGAGAGATATCTTTGAAAAATATAGAATATCCGCACTAATTACCCATGTTTCTCGAATTATTCGTAAAATTAGTATTTGTTGAGGATAGTGCAAGAAAACTGCGATTCAATCCGCGGAGAGGAAAATTCAGTAAAAATTACTGACACTTTCGTAATGATATTTTTCTAGACATTTACCTTTATTTTTTTTAACGATCAGATCATTTTTATTCAGCAGTCGGTAAATTATATTAAAGGCGCGGTAGTTTTCCTCGAATGGCAAAAATACAACGCGATTAACAAACGATTCGGTAATTTCCATTGATTTTGGTAATTTCATGGAGAATATAATACGATTCTTAAAAATGAAGTAGAATTGGATTTAAAAGAAAAATTGCTATGAACATTCAAATTTCGATTAGAATTCTCAGTAAAACAGAAATTTTCTATTTTTCCCTTATTTTTCTTTCCGCATCCTGATGAGTGTAATTGTCACGAAAACAATGGAGTAAGGAATAATTAAGAATATTGAATGAATTAATGATTGCCTTTTATCAGCCGAAAAATCTGCCTAGCTAAGTCCTCAAGCTTTATCTTCCTCGAATGAAAAAAAAAATTAATTCCTCAATCTCAACACCTCGTTCCCCAATAAACCTCATATCACGCGTGAAAACAATGAAAAAACCGTCTATTTGCTATGGCGACAACTCTCAGAACATTCTTAATCATCCCAGTCGCTTCTCAAGCGAGTGTGAAAATCCTCAGTACAATAAATTCAACTGTAATTGCGCTGTAAATTGCCTCATGACGGCCATTTTTGCCACTCTACCACGAGAAAAAAAAATCGCTCCAAAACTCCATGAATTAACCAATTAACCGAAATTTCCAATTCGACGATTCCCCCGAGTAATTGATCGATTGATCATTCCGATTTTGATCTAAGTTAATTGCGCAACTGTTGCTCCGAGTCCTTGGACTTTAGCTCGATGAAAAAGCAAACAAGAAAATAAAATACGAAGGTGAGAAAAAAAAAATTGTTGTCGGGTTTTGATGTGTAAAGGGGATTGAAATCGTAAAATACCGCGGAGTAGAAATCGATATCAGTTATCCACTCGAGGTGATCTAGCGGTAACCAAGGGTAAAAAGAGATGGAGATAGGACTACGTGCTAGGTTGTTGAGTCGTTGATAAGGGATTGATGATGATAAAAATGATGGTTAATTCCAGTGATGACGGTGAGCACTCCTTTTTCCGTTTTTTTTCCCCACCAATTTTTCTTCCATTTTTTCTTACTCGTAGCGTCACACATTTCCACCATTTTGTTTTCTTCACTGGAGGATCGAGATCGAGAAAATCCGTTTAACGGTGGAAATCGATTTTTCAATTGGATCGAAGGGTCGCATCACTCACGAACGATCGATTCCGATCAATATCTCGATAAAAAAGTCGTTGAATTTTTGGGGACATCCACTGGTTCGAGATCGGTAGCCACTGAATTTTCGGGATAAATATCGAATGCTCGGGGATAGGATTGATGGGGATTTTATTGGTAACTGGTCGGGTTAAGTTTGAAAAGCCCTACACTCTTCTGACCGTCTCGGCTCGACTGAAATTATCATTTTAGCTGATACTAGCTAATGTAATGATGCAGTTTTATCTCGTATTATCATGGAAAACGAGATAAATCGCGATAGTGCCGTTTATTTTGACAACACTCGTCTCACCTTCTCCTCCCGACCTATCGTGCTGCCTGGTATCAGCCCTCGTAATCTTAACCATCTACAGAGGGGCTTCTTATTTTTATGAGGGTTAATGAGAGGGTTCAGAGACCCCGATCACCAGATTTTTTCTCCAGTCAATTCAAGCGACAAAAAATTTACCACAGCATTTATTCCATAATTCAAGTATCGCCTTTTGCCGACTTGATTCTGCGGATTGAGTGTTAATCCCGTTTTTATTTATATTCGAAATGAAAAAATTCTTACGGTGGTCTTCAAGGGTTCTCTTGACCTGCGCGTCATCCCCACAAATCCGGGGATGAGTGGACCTCAAAGTGAATCAGAACTTCTTGTCATGACTTGTTTACACTTGCAAACGCGTGACTCATCACCCTCGATAGGTCATCCTGTGACTTGCGTACTGTGGCAAAATACAAACAAAATGGCGGAACGAAATGGCCGATTTCACGGATAAACTACCAACGGCCGCACCAACAATCGTTATCTCACCGGTGTTCAACACCGTTGGGCTCTCTCGTCTTATCAGAGCAAACACCGGACCCCTCTGTACCTTCCTAGCTTATTGTGTCAATCAAAGAGATCCTCACGTTTTGTCTTTTGAAACCGCCCCACGTCCACTCCGACACGAACTTCAGTCTCAAAAATTTTTTTTAACCCATCAACAATCGCCTGAATCATCACTCCTCAAACAATGAGTCAATGACTCTACAAATCCAAAAATTTATAAACTTAAAAAAAATATAAATAAATATCCCAATATAATTAAATATTTTCCCCCATTTTTATGAAATCGCATTAATTCAAATGCCATTATTTTAACTAATTGGGTTTAATGGCCTAGTTTTATCACTTATTTATCTGAAATTTTATGTAAACTGGTAAAATTTCAGTCTCTTACAAAAATTCATTCCCTTTCTCCCTTTTATATGCAAAGTCAATCCGAAAATTGTGAAATGACTCACCTAAAAATCTACGAGGATAATGGAAAACTCGATCAACTCAGAAAATTCTATACACTTCAGCGTGCATTTTCTCAAAAAAAATAACTACGTTCCACCTCATTAAAATGATATTATTGAATTTCCATTTGAGAAATCGTTTGTCCTTCGTGGAACTGAAAGCGGAAATCTCTATAATCTGCCGTCAAAAGAGGAAATCGTGTTTAAATGACTTGAAAAATAAATTCAGTGAGAATTGGGGCGAAATTTAATTTCCCTCGACTCTCAATTAAAAATGAAAATCTCAATGAAAAAGGAAAAAAAAAAACAAATCGATTGAAACTCTTGAGGGCTTTACCTATAGGCTAAATATAGAATTTTCCTCTAGAGGGGGGAATTGTGGAGAGTAATAATTATAGTGAATGACCAGGAGGGAGGTGTGAGTGACCAATGGGAGTGCAGGAGGGGCGTTGTCCAATGGTTTCTCTTTGCTCCCGTTCGACCACTCAAAGCCGCAGTCTCTCCTCTCTTTCCTATTGTCGAAGCTAGTCTTCCCCAGCAACTTCTCACCCAAATTAACCCAGGATAACGATGGAGGGGAGCAAGGAGAGAGTTTCCTAGACACGCGACCACCTCTCCAAAGCACCCACGCCTCTTCACCTCACACCTTTTCCAACGACTCCAGTCACCAGCCGATCGTCGGGGAACATCCACCGTCTCTATTTCCTCTTCCATCGGTTTTCAAAATTCAATTCATTCAAGTTTTGTTATAAATTGGAAATTCGCAAGTGAGGTCTCGTTGAGACCAAAGGAGCAAACCGCTCCCCCTTTGGCTCTTATCTTGCATATCGAGTTTATCGCTGAATTGTAGTTGTGAGAAATTGTGAGTTATTTTGAATTTTCCAAGGAGGAATGCGGCACGCAGCGACTGAGGTAATTTTTTTTCAGAATTTCCCTATTCGCGTTTGTATGTATGATAATTATAGAATTAAAGAAATGGGATTTTCCCAGTAGCCGTTGGTTATTGTATTAAAATGGGACGGAGTACTGGAAAAAATATTTTGTTAATAAAAAAAATTATTTCTAGTAGTTGCTCCGTGAAAAGCGATTCGAGAAAAATATACTATGGTCATTAGATCGACTTAATGTCGCGGCAATCTTTTTTCTCAAGTCTATGAAATTGTGTGAGATATATTGTAATAATGAAATTGTCCTAAAATCACGTGAGATGAAAAGTTATAATTTAGTTCACGATGTGGCGGCTGTATTTAAAAATAATTCATCATATTGTCGAGGTGAAATGGTTTTTTTTTTGCATGGATATTGAAAAATTTGAATTTTGATATCAGAAGAATTTCAATTGGATTTCGGGAGAACCGACTGTCAGAATATTCTCCTCTTGATGGATAACAGAAAATGACGCGTGGTTCAGTCACCGACCGGCGGAAATCTTGGCTTGACATTACCGAGCGGAAGTGACGCGCACCTCAGCAAACACCTTCTCTAACAATTCCTTTTTTTTTTCAATTTCACGTTAATTCTCTCTCTGTCGGTTGTGACGAACGAGGTGTGTCGTTTTCACCGTGAACATAAATACACCGGATTTTTATTCCATTTCTGTGTACCCTTTTGTCGCGTGCCTTTTTAAAACCCATGACTAACGCTCATTCTGAGTTGACGAAGAGAGGAGAATCCAGCATTGATGACTGCCAGTGATTTAAGTTTTACCCTGAAACTGTTGCTTGAAGAATGAGTGATTGGGTAGTGCTGAAGGTTGTGAAATACGTCACAGTGACCTAGACACGGTTCCGATCCGGAAACAGATCTGATGAGTAGAGCATTGGCATTATCTTGGTACAAGTCTTTGTTCCTGTCCCACTTTCCTAGGTGTTTCACCGCTCGAAGTAGTTTAGAGATTGCTAAAACTCATTGATGGAGTCATTCAGGTGGATTGATATCGATTTCAGGATACGATGAAGGAGAACTTGATGAAGCAAGATATGAAGATTGACTGGGAGGGTAATCGACCGGAGGAGGGTTCACCTGTTGTACCCAGAACTGCTGAGGAACAGGCGGTGGAGAGTCCTCAGAGTGTTATCACAACTAGAAGACACGTGCGGACAATTACCACTACTGGACACATCACGGAGACTATTGCTGAGGGGGAACCTCATTCACCAGTACCCAGTCCTTCTGAGAAATCCAATAGTATGCAGATGGTACCGGAGGGACATCAGGGACATCAGAACAGGGAGGGCTTCCAGGAGCAGCATTCGCAGTTTATTCACATTAATCAGGAGAGCCCGGGGGAGCAGAGGAGCATTGACCAGCATCAAGTGATCTATAATAATGGAGATGAACTCCAGGTGGAGAATCGAGAGGCTGAAGGACAGGCTCTTGGTATAACTATCAAAGATCAAGCTCGGTGAGTTGCGAATAATTGTTTTTCCCCGTCAAAACTACTTCTTAATAATTTCAATTTTATCCATTTAAAATACTAAGTAATTCGGTGGCAGTTGCGTTTAATTATTGAATCCATCTCTGCTTATCAGATGATAAGTTCCTCTGATATGATTATTTCGATTCGCGCAAATATGCTTTCCATATTTCTATTAATTTTCTCCTTTTGCACGAGACCGTAAAAATACCCGTTGAACAGAAAATAAAGAGACTATTGAAGAATTTTCCCCTACAGCTACGGAACCCCTGCATCAGAGAGAACAGAAGTGGACAGGGTGTACATCTCCTACGAGGAGAACGACACCCGTCGTGGTGGTCCTGTAATAACAGTACAAGTGCCCGATCCAAGACGTCATCAGTCGCGATTCAGTCCCCAGGAGAATGGCCAGGTGACGAGATATCAGAATTCTCCAGCATCGGGGGAGGACTATGAGGCGAGCGCCATGGTTTCTCATCCACCTACAGTTCACATACCATCACCAGCCCATCCTTATTCACCACCTGTGGAGACCATCAGAACCAACCAGCAACAATTGGGATCCACCTACACCGCGACTACCATCAAGTACGATGTGACTGCTCCAGTGGCCACAGACAATTTGAAAACCAACAGCACTTACACTACCCTTGAACCTGTTGCACTACCTCCAGCACAGACTGTTCAGTATACACCATTCGTTGCTGATGGTTTTCAGTCCAGCAGTTATGCTTATGCTAAACCTGGTGACATCACTTACTTGGCTTATCCCAGTGGACAGGCCAATTTCAGGACTGGAGAGGTGAGTCATCATTATTACTATGAAAATTTTCTCCCGGTAACGATGATCATAATTAAATTTACAAAAATGATATTAAAGGTCGAATCAAGAGTCTACATAAAGGGTGACCCCACCCTGACCTCATCATCCTTAATTCCCACAAGAACGCAGCTTCACTACGAGCAGCCAGGATCCCCCAATTCCCAAGTGACTATCTATCCAGGATCCACTCAGGCCTTTCAGTACGTGAAGACCTCTGGTGAGACTTATTGGGCGCCTCCTCCGAGCTCCACGTCACCACCGACACTGGGTTACGTCGAGGGATATCCCATTCCCATCACAACGAGTGACGCAGGTACCATGATGTACTCTGGAGGTGGTTACACTGTTGCTGGGGACAATGGTCCGTCTTCTCCATGGCCCACTATACCAGTCAGCGCTTCTGACGAGGCATTTGATCACCAGTTGATTCCAGTTGACACTAAGGAATGCGTCAACTGCGCTGCCAGCATGACACCCTTGTGGAGAAGAGATGGCACTGGACATTACTTGTGCAATGCCTGTGGGATTTACAACAAGATGAACGGTGCCAACAGACCTCCCATGAGGTGCGGAGGCAAAATTAAACAGAGTATCGCACCTGTAAGTCATCCCTTTTTTTAATACTAAACTAGTCGGGCGCATTAAGTAATTTGCAGGCAATTAAATCTAATCAGAAAATTAAATACATGAGGACTCGCAAGGATAACAAATATTACTATGGATTTTATTTAAACGAAATAATTTTTTTCAAATAATATTTTTCAAAACGTAACACGTGGAATTCGTCGGTGATTACCTCAATGAAAAAAATCATTCGCATTCAAAAGATTGGATCTTCTGCTTATAGATTTAATTCATTGCAATATAAATCATGAAGTTCAAATAATGGTATTCGTGATATAGTTGTTAGAATCCGGTTAATTTCCGGGAATTAACTGATTCTTAAAGTATTACAATGAGAGTTAGTCGGAATTGTAATAAAAATGATGTGACGATCCAGAGTTTCTCGATTTCTTATCATTCATATGAATCGAGCAATCACATTTAGCGCGGTCAGTGAGAATAATATTGAACGAAATACGTTGTCCACCGTTCGAAATTCTAGGCCACGGGGGAATTATTTGTGCTGATAAAAAAAAAAATCCAACATCGGGCTGGACGAGGTATATTGTACTGTGCCCAATGTGTACACCAACACAACGAGCGTTATTAAGTAATGTTTGTGCTCTCGAGAGGAGAACGCTGTTATCTCAGAACCAGAACAAATAAAAGTGAGGACGGAGACGTAGGGCGGGTGTTGTTTGCTCTAGTTTACTTACCTGACGAAGAGCGCGTACATTCCTCTCCTCATGTTCTCAAACAGTCAGGGTGTCTGATGCTCGCATTCCAGCATCGGCGACATTAAAAAATCACTTGATCAACAAAATATATGAAAAATGCATGAGAAACGTCAGGCGTCTGGATGATTAATCCTTTTGGAAGACATCATCATCGCCAATTTGACTCAATCATTCTGATTATTATCATTATGCTTTCAGAGTGGTCGTAGAACGGGAGTGTTGTGCGCTAATTGCAGAACAAGCAACACAACATTGTGGAGAAGGAACAACAACGGCGAGCCCGTTTGCAATGCCTGTGGCCTCTACTTTAAGCTCCACAACGTGAGTAGACGTTCAAATAATTACTAAAGTATATTAAGTGTAATAAAAAACCGAAACGGGAAAAATAACTTTGAAAAAGGCTGAGCGCAGTAAAGACTGCAAACAAGGGTCGTTGAGCTCGACAGTTATATGACAATAATTCTCCTTGAAAAAAATCTTCGTCGCACTTGGGGGGAAGGGTTAACTGGAAACAAACAACACTTCTCACCTTTGGAATCATCTCTCACTTTTTTTCGATGATATTTCGGTGCCTCGTTTACCTCTCGGTTCGTTTCCGGTTTCAGGTTTTTTGGAAGAGCTAACGGATGTAATGGGTTTCGTGTTGTTGATAAATTGAGTCATCGAAAAATTACTTGAGGGAGTCTTGCACTGTGGGATGAAACTTTTTAAGAGATTTTATTCGGTTTCGTTTTCATGCCGTTGTGTGCTATGAGTGAGCGCATTTTTTTTGAAGAAAACAACATTTTTTTTTAGAAATCGCGTAATGGTACGCGTTAGCAATGTAATTGGGAAAATCTTTTTAGATTTTATTAGACCGGTGATAAAACTGTTATCAGGGCACGTGTGGAAGAACTGAGGCGCGATGACACGTGTCTCTGGTTGCATTGATGATTGATAAGGAATTGGTGATGTTCTATTAGATGAAAGGGATTATTTTCGATTCGTACTGATTTCGTGGTCTGCTGTGGCGCCTGTTCGTCAGCAGAAACAATCGTGATAATTTGAAATGATGAGATTAGCATCGCAACCAATAAATCAACTTCGCTCGTTGGAGAAATTATTTGGAAACTTTGTCTTGGGGTTTCGAGAGTGATTACTTCTCGTTGTTTTATTCTTTTCATTCTCGCTGATCGATAGCAATCAATCACAATCGAGTCGAGTGTTATCGGAGGTTTTCTCGCGGCAGGTGATAAGGAAGTTGACTGGTATTTTTTTTTTCGCAAGACCCGAGCCAAAGGGTGACAGCTCAATTCAGAGAAGATTATCGGACGATCTCGGTAAGGAAAATTAATTTTTGGCGTTGGACTTTAATGTTGAAGAAATATATCAATGTACAGGGAAACCCGAAGTTGTTGGAAATGATGACGTTTAAGATATAATTCAATACCGACATTTGTATTAATTTTTATTGTTCAAATGAGAACCATTTGAGGTTTAAATTTTTGGTATCATGAAATTGCAGGTGAACAGACCGATGAGTATGAAAAAGGATGGGATTCAGACGAGGAAGAGGAAACCGAAGAATCACACGGGGATGGGGAGTGGATTGGCTGGATCCAGTGGTATCCACAAGACCGAGATGAAGTCAAACCTACTCGGTGAGTCTATGGTGAGCGAGTGTCTTTCTTCCTTTTCCACCTCTTTCATTTTTTAAAATTCCCGTGATCCACTTGTCGGATAAGATAACTCGTTTTTTTAATTGGATTTTCACTCGATGTCTACGTGACACTGTGTACACAATTATTTTTTGGATTAGCCGATGGGGAATTGTACGTATAATGTGTATGAAATGGACTTTTGAGGCAGGTGAAGGCAATTGCATGGAAAAATTCGATGTTAATTTGAATTTTATCCGGGAAATTCATTGTTTGCGCTCGGCTGACCGATATAATCAGAAAAATGGCCGCTGTCGCGATTGATATGAGGGGAGTGGGGGGTCATGTACAGTTAGTGCTCTATGATTGGTCAGAGAATGCAGGGGGATCTGATCGATAACGAGGGGAAAAATTGAGCTATTTTCCCCGAAGCGAGGCGGAAATATCCCGCGGCCATTTTCTATTCAATTCTTAAATCTGCAATTTATCATTTCCGCCAAAAATATACAGAGAACCAATTCTCAAATGATTTTTTTTTATCGTGTGTTTTAATATTGTTGAAAATGAAGTCGTCTTCGTTTTTATTGCATGAATCACACTCTTCTGACGAAACCGTTGATAAAATTGTTGACAAAGATTAATTCAAAGTAATTCTGGTTTTGTGGGAAAAATAAAAAAATGGAAACACACAAATTTGATCTATTTTAAATCGACCCAATTTAACATCTCTCTATATTTTTTCGTCATGTGATTGTTTTCGTGTGGGAAATTGGTGATAATTTAACAGAAGAAATGGATTTTTTACTGAATGTAAATTCCAGTGGACTCGAAGCGGCAGTTGAGTATGTACGGGGGTGGGGTCGTTGATGGGTTTGAGGAACATCATTATCTAGCAATGACAACAGCCCATATGGGGCACGCGCATTCACCCCTCGCATTGCCCTCAGCTGCTGCACTCAATCGTCAGACAACCCTTACGTAAGTCCACGACATCAACGACTTAAGGTTGTTGTCGCGCAGAATTTTTTTTCGACAGTTTTCGTTTAAACCTTTATGGTGAATAGGTTGAAAAATAGCTCCAAAATGAGCCCTTTCCGTTTGCAGTTGACCGTTTTGAACTTGAGATATAAATTTTTGAAATTCGAGTGATTTAACACGTGTTTAAATGGAGTTTCACCGATTAAAATTTTTTTCAAATCAACGGCTCGACAGTTTGAGAAATAAAAAAAAACGTGGAATACACATCGTGGGAGGAAATGCAGAACAAAAAATCAAATCGATTGACCGTTTGGTTTACGCAATATAATTATCGAAAATTCATAAATTTATATAATTTAAAATAGTTAAAATGGAAAATATATAGTTATGCTTTAACTATTCATGCACAATGCAATCAATCAAGTGAGACTTTATACCGTCAAAAGATTGTGTTCTAAACTGGCCCGTTTTACAGCGAATAAACTTTTTATAGAGACTGTCGCGCGACAACAACCTTAACCGACTGCTACTTTTTCAAACTTTTCCACCGTTTCGCGTGTTATGCTCTCAAGATGTCGATCATTTCACTCATTAAAAATCTCCTGCTCACCGTAATAATTGGTATTTATTATCTAATTGGTGAATTATTTATTTCAGTGTGCCCCCATTAGAGCCGATAACAAGTTAAATCCGCACTTCGATCGGTCGTGAGCTCAACAAGGCATAATAAACCGACTGTTGATAATTCCTGACAGTCCCATGGAAATGCCTGCCTGATCAGCTCCGATCATCGATGGTATTCCCGGAGGGAGTCGCCATCTTCTGGGCAATAACAAAATTATATATACCAAGAACAAGAACAACAGCAGCGCGGGTTTATTCTTTATCAATTAGTTAAATAATTCGGTGATTGCCAATGAGCAGATCTTTTCTGCACATTATGATATGATTTCACCACGAATGAAAAATCCGACAATTGAGTGAATTGAAAATTAAGAAAAATTATAATTGATCATAAAATGATCGTAAACGGTAGCTGTGAATGGAAAGGAAGAAGATTTTTTTGATTATTTTTTTAATCCCTATGTTAGCTAATGGAATTCAAAATTTATGGAATTTTTCCCTCCAGTTTCCTGCAAATAGGGAAAACTCTATTTTTCAGGGAAGAATTGAGTCCTTTATTTGTTTGCAACGAACTTATCGGGAAATTTCCGATAATTTTGAATTTCTTGTGGTAAAAAATGGCAGAGATGGGGCGAGAAATTTAAGGAAATAACTCGTAAAATTGACGCGCATTGATATCAAATTTTTGTAGAGATCAGAAGAAATAGTGCGGAGAGAATAGTATATTCCCCATTCTTTTGTGTGAATAATGATCAATTTGATACCCCAGTAAGGCAGAACCCACAGAATTTACGCCTGTCTGTTATCACCCCATGCACTGATAGTACGATTCATTTATCGCTAACGAAGAGTTTGGTAACGAATACTAGATTTAAATATGACTAAAGAAATAGTCGTTAATGGTTAAAAACGACTCGTTAATAAAACTCTGGGTTATAATTGTAAATAATAGTATTTCTCCCATTTCCATGGTTCATTCAAACAAGCTGTGTATTAATAATTAACAGTTGAACCTGAAACGCACAAATGAATTTTTCTATCAGTACTGAGTTGACGGATTCTGGTGCTGTGTCGGTGATTGTACATAGATTTTATACATTTGTCCAAAGATTTGTGTTAGTTTTAATTATTTTAAATCCCATCTTAACAAATATTTTAATATATTTCACTGTGTAGGTATTCGCTTTGAGATTTTTTCTTTCTACCGATGTTAAGAATTTAAATTAAATACAAGAATTAATGATGAAAGCGTTTGAATTTATTTTCTTTTTAAAAAATCCCGATCTATGTTTCCATAAAATTGACAACAAACACATAATAAACACATAAATCCAAAATATTTACACATGTATATATATGTAAACATTTTAAATTGAATTTTTTCGATAAAAATGAATTTTCATCAACTCAAATCAATTTATTAATTCGTAGTGTCAATATATTGTTATAGATTTTATTTATCGAATAAATTTTTTGCACGTTGTTTATAGGTGCGCAAAGTGCGCCCCAAATGCTAGTTGATGGAAAATTTTTGGGATAAGACACCGATGTTTTATACGTGTTTCCAAGAGTATGTGGGGGGAAGGAAAGGGGAGGAGGGGGAGAAGAGGTGATGAGAGAAGGGGGGTTGAAGGGGGGTTGAGTCGTTGAGGCTAAAGGAGTCGGCTATCGTGGCGGCCCCGAGTCCGCTAAGGGCTATTCCATGTTAGTCGGGCTCCACTGCCCATTTTTTTTTCACTCTTTTCAGTTTCATCCTGCTTTATTTATTTTTTTTATTTTTCACTTTTTTTCCTCGGTTCACGGCGAAAGGCGCAAACGTGGCGCCGCCCTCAGTCCGACTCTCTGTCTTGCTCACACCCACGGGTAAACCCATTGCCCTCTCCCCTTTTGATTTTTTTTTTAAATTTAATTTTCACCTCTCTCTCTCTCTCTACGCATGTGGCTCTATAATGTATCCCTGCGTGTATAATTTATCTCGGTGCAGGGAGATATAACTCGCGGACAATGTTGGAGGGAAAAATGATAATTGTCTGGGGGTGCGGGGGAGAGGGGAATTTCGCGAAATTATTGGGGGATTCCTGGGGGATGGAAGAGAGGGGGACTTCTAGTCAGCTGAGAGTCCCCTCGGAAATTCAAGGGAGATAGCAATTGGAGAGAGAGATTTTTCTCAATTTTCGCGGATTTTTTCAGTTTTCGCGCAATAATTCAACTGAATTTTAGGATGTTGACGAATGTTATGGCATTGGTAGTTTTAAATATGGAAATTCTTGGAAAATTCCGGGGGAATTCCCTGCTTATTAATTTCAAAGAGGTACCTAAAATTCCGACGGAAAATCTCAAAGTGATAGAATTGATAAAAATGGAAAAGTTGGAGAGAGAAGTGCAGTAAATGTCAGTTACTGCGGACTACTGAAACACAAATTCCTCTTTTGATATTGGGTTAATCGATGGAAATCGATGGGTGATGGTTGGAATGGAGGGGGAGGGGATTAGTGATCCGACGGGACGCATTATCTCGAGACAAAGGCCAAGTGGCTGTGCGACTTCTCGATCCGCCGGCGACTGCATTCTTCGACTATCGATGACCTCTTCCCTCTCTCTCTCTTTATTCTTTATTTCGAGAGATTTTTCTGGGGATTTTTCTGGAGTCTTCGCATGGGGATTTGTGAATTTTCGAAGGGGATGCACGAGAAAGATTGCAGAAGAAGGACACGAAGAGGCGCCAACATTCTGCCCCCGAAAAAAAACATCCAGAAGTTGTAGATTTTGGACAGAAGATCAACGGCAGGAGATCAATAGTTCCATAATTTCCCGGAATATTCAATCTATTGAAAATTCAATTGCAATAATTTTGAATCAATTATCATTTACTATGAAAAATTCTCTTGAATTTTCAAGACAAATGAGCAATTTAGTAATTATTTTTCATTGGAATTGAATTGAAACTCCTATAAACAACAAATTACGTGACTTTGTAACTGAAATTTCCAGAAAATTCGAAAAGTGTGAAAACTGCCAATTCCACAACGTCAGCTCTAAAAATTGAGTTCAGCATGGATATTTGTTATACAGATATGAAATTTCACCGGAAATTTCACTGCAAATCGCCACAAATTCTACAAAGAGAAACGTGACGACTTGAGCAGTAGTAGAAATCTTCGGATGGGGATCCGCCCCTAAATCACATTTTGTCATTACTACCACAAGAATTTCTCCGAGGAATTTCTCTGAGGTATTGCGTCGAAAGTAAAATATATTTGTATCGTAGAAGCGCTCTTATTTTGGTCGGAGGACATAAAGTGGTTCCCTTACTAAAATCCCACCGTTGGCGCCAGTCTGAGGTGTAACATCTTATCAGTCCACCTCTCCCAGCCCTTTCCTCCCCCCGACGAGGTATTTTCAACCTGGGGCACTCGGAATTCCTCGATTCACTAAAACGAATTCATTAGTTCTAAAATCATAAAATTCATATCGAGTGTATAAGATCGATGAATTTGTCCGATGACGTAGAAAAATGAGATCGATTTAGTATTTCTTCGTGTTAGCAATAATTCACGTCTTCCTCGGGTTGCCCACACATTTTGCCAAGACCTCCCTCGTCCTCAGACACTTCACCCACTCCTCTGCTTTATTCCTTCATTCTTCCACGAGTGTTTATTGTCCCTCTGTATTTTTACTTCCCCTCGGCGTGTCTCACGTTTTCTTCCACCCAATATCTTACCACCTCATTCCCGCCTCATTCCTCTTGGTCCATTCGCCATATTCTCGCCCACAGCATTCGCTGTTTATCCCTCTTTTCCTCTCGTCCTCGCGAGTGTATCTCGTATCCGAGAGGGCCGCCCCGATTTCCAGGAAGAGGTCTCCACTGGCAGAAAACCCGACGTCATACGATTAGATTAGGAAAATCAATTCGCAAGTGAAGAGCTATCCTCCACAAGCTTTTGGTCATTTTATTTTCTCGACATTTTTTTTTACTGGGATTTAAGTGTTTCCCTTCCTCCCCCTCCCCCTCCTTTTCTTCGCCAAAGAAGAGGAATTGAATTCCTCAAGATTTTCCATCGGAAATTGAATATTCTCAACTGTGGGAATCATTCGGATTCGTCGGGGATGAAAAGTATGGATGAGAATTTTACGACTTCTTGAAATATAAATTGTGATTTTTCGGACATTTTTCTCTCCTCTCCTTTACGAGATCGTCCGGTTGGAATTTTTTTAATTTTTGAATTTTCAACATTTTCTTGCTCCCCCCGCCTCTAGCTAAAATTTCTCTAATAATTCGCAGCCTTCCTTGGTTCCTGTAATGATTCCCAAATTCGCGCGATTTAGGGAATTTTTGACAATTTTCAAATTAAAAAAATTTTTGCTACGACGTCGTGGTACCCTTACGACCATTCAAGATATTTCGATATATTTCGAGATCGATTTCGTATCTCCTGTTTTACATTTTAATTATTTTCTTATGTAATATGGTAATATACTATTCTCTATGTGTTCTCTCTACAAAATCGTGACGCAGGGATAACTGAGAATATTGAAAATTTATTTAAATAGCGGTGGAAAATCGGCGCTGTGAGAATCAGTTACGTGATATTTATTAGACTGTTGACATTACCAACTGCTTGGACTTTTTAACAGATCTCTAATGAGCTTAGAGGCGGGGTGCGTTAATGAGGTAGGCGGGGGCACCCGGCACGCGACTTCCGTTTCTGCACGCGATCACAACCCCTCGATCTCATCAGTGAATTTGAGTTATTGTCTAACGTAATATTTTTCCTACGCCATTTTGCCATTCTATCTTGAGGTAAATATCGGATTATGAAAATCGCGGATAATCACTTTCGTATTTTAGATAACGCACGGTTAAACCTTTCGGGAGAACCGTTTTGCGCTGTTGCAATTAATTATCCGGAAAATGAGAATAAATCTGAAAAATAAAACTGTCAAATTCTATTTTATTTCTGTTTATTCACGCGTGAAGCTGTACCTTAAAACATAGAAATGCAAATTCTGAAAGATGTAAGCGAATTGACTGCTAGGTTTTTATATTTTATTGTGTACTTTCTACCTTCTTGGTCTATATTCAATTTCATTTTTGGCCGTTCATGCTTTAGTCTTAATAACCATCAATACTGAATTATTTTAAATAATTTATATCGGAGAACTATTTAACCGAATATAAAATTCATCTAGAAATTCGTTAAAAAAATTCTAGTTCGCGAACTAAATGAAATTTGACTTCAGTAAAATTCTTAAAAGATCTCAAAAATTGCTGTATTAAATAATATTGGTTTTATCATTCTGTGCGGAGATGTTTTTCATTTAGAGACATGAGATAGCAGCGTTTTTCACTTAGGAGTTGGAGGATTTTAGGCTATGAAGACGCGTTCTCCTCTTTTTGGCCCATTTTTCTTGAGAGTACCTGAATACCTGGGAGCTGCACCCTGATGGAGTCACCTATCGGCGCCACGCCTATCGCAGTTAATACCGGGAGAGACTAGAGTCTCTGCAACCGATCGTATATTTATCTAATGCTCTGTCCATTTTTCTATAATGAAACTCACGACTAGAAAGAAAGTGATGTAGGAATTTTCTAGGGGACTCGGAAGAAGACAGCATTTCCCAGATTGATTGTCATTTTTCTCCTCAGTCCGTACAATACAATTTTTCTTTCGTTTTCAGTTTCATAATAATCTACGATACGAATATGTGTGAAATTAATCGGCGGGTGATAGAAACATTCGATTTAAGGTTGTTGTCGCGTAGAATTTTTTTTCGACAGTTTTCGTTAAAAATTTTATGGTGAATAGTTTGAAAAATTAGCAACAAAATGAGCCTTTTCCGTTTGCAATTGACCGTTTTGAATTTGAGATATAAATTTTTGAAATTCGAGTGATTTAACACGTGTTTAAATGGAGTTTTGCCGATTAGAATTTTTTAAAAATCAACGGCTCGACAGTTTCAGAAATAAAAAAAAACGTGGAATATACATCGTGGGAGGAAATACAGAAAAAAAAATCAAATCGATTGACCGTTTGGTTTACGGAAGATAATTATCGGAAATTCATAAATTTATATAATTGAAAATAGTTAATATGGAAAATATATAGTTATGCTTTAGCTATCCATGCACAATGCAATCAATCAAGTGAGACTATATACCGCTAAAAGATTGTGTTCTAAACTGGCCCGTTTTACAGCGGATAAACTTTTTACAGAGACTGTCGCGCGACAACAACCTTAAAAAAAAAATTACTTTTCTTTTTGGAAAATCCTAGATCAGTCCCTGAGGTTATGGCGAAAAATAAAAATGTGTATTTGAATTTTTCTTGGGTATGAGTGTTTCATGATGATTTACGAGGAGAAATATTGAGATTAATTGATGGTTGATAGAGTAATTGAATTTTGGTAGAAAATTTATAGGGACTTCTCCCGAGAGGGAAAAGTATATTCTCATCTTATTTCCGGGGGTCAAATACGAACTTTCCAGTGGTCGTGTAAAAAAATAATAAACACCGAAACATGGCACCGAAATATCAACCCATAAACCGCCATGATCGATCTTCAGCCGTCATGCTCCTGCTACCGACCCCCTTTGACTCCTGGTGTTTCATTAGTCGCCAATCCAGTCCCGGGAGTCGGCGGAGTCTCGCAATAACAAACGATCCGTGATCGAAAAAAAGAGCCCCAGCATTGAATAAATAAAATGACGAAGGATATGCACTTTTCCTGGAAGCAGTTATCAGGTTGTCAGGGCAGATAATTTTCGTGGGTCTGGGGAGAATCCTACAACCTCTCAGGAGACCCCGGAATATTGCATTCCACTCAGTGGACTAATGGACGACGCACATAAGCGTTAGTACTCCTCTGCCTCGACATTTTGGGTTTCTCTTTTTTATGATACTCCTTTTTTTTCCTTCTGCTACCCCCTTCGCCGGAGGGGGAGGGCCTCGTTGTTACCTGGAGCCGTTTATTGGGCTGCCATGCAGGATTTTTTTATGCGACTTTGAAACGACGTCTGATAATGAAAGTGTTCCTCTACTCGCGGGAGCAAAAGTGGTTTAACAAAGAGGATCCAACATTAGTATTACCGGATTATTTATTGTTTGAATCGCTCGAAAATTTAACTCTCGACATAAGGTGATGCTTTTCTTTTCGATACCTCGATATAGAATTTATTCGATGGAGAAATCGCAGACATCGAGGAGACACGCATTTTGTTGGTAAATTGACGCGAATTCGGTGGTCGATATTTCAGACTTGGGGGTCTTGGTTCCGAGCGTCCAATTCTATGAGTCAAATAACTTTAAAAGGTCATTCCCTTATTTTTTCTAATGTCGTTGATGTTTGTAAAATCGATAATATTTTTCCGTGGACCCACGTCTCCATTACAATCTCGAAAATCTCTGAAGCCGACGAGAGATGATCCCGCGATGTTCCAGGAGATGTCAAAATGTCCCAATTTTCCTTTCGCCGTTTTCCTGACAATATTTAGACAACTCGAGATTTATGGCTTTCGAAATAAATTGAGGCTTTTGGCGTCATGCTTTTTTTATGATTGTTACTGTAAATTCCGTTTGGAACTACGCAAGTTTGGAAAAACCAAGGATTTTCGGTGTCTAATGACACGGGAAGACTTCCGATTCCCAGATGCGTATCTCGGGCACGGGGTCCTACCTGTCTAAGTTTCCGGACTACTGGGGGGCCATATTTTCCAGGGGCACCGGGGCCCCGTCAATGTTCCCCACAGATGACGTTCATTTCGGAGGGGACAGTCCATTAGTTTTAATGCATTGAGGATAGACTGGAAAATCTAACATTTCCTCTTTTTCAAGTGTCTCGTAATTTCCAGTTTTTGTGTCAATTAAACGATCGTAAAATTGCCCTGCAGAAGTGACAGTTGACAGAATTGTCGTCGGTTGCCAATTATTTTCACATTGACAAGAATAAATGATTTCATCTCAATTGACTTTCCATTTAAATTGAGTTCGACTGCAAGTCTTCAATGAAAATGAATAAACACTCGTGTGAATGAGTAAAACCTCAGAATTAATCAAGTGCTAGTTACGGGCTTCAATAATTAACATTTTTACGACTCATTACAGTTTTTTATTACGTATTATTTATTAAAAAAAAATTATTGCCATAAGTTTCTCAGAAATTTCTCTCTGTTGAGGTATCGAATGTGTGAGATGTGCGGTTTTATATTTTTATCTGAGATTTGTGGTATAAATCGTGAGTCTCTTTCAACATTAAACATCTCCATTTAATGAAGTACAAATTATGAAAGATCCCGTATACCCAAAAAGTACCCGTTTGACTTCTAGTGCCATTAGCCTCACGCATCGATATTGCCGCGTTAATCGCCGGTGGGTGTGGAGTAACTATTTTTCGATTGCGTATAAATTATTACCCCCCAAGACAAACTGCTCTAAGCTACTTATTTATGTCTCCAACGCACGCACATCCAACAAAACAGCGCAACTATAACGGATTCTCTCAAACCATGTCGAAAATTTTTTCTTACTTCTCCAAGGGGAATTGAAAAAAAAATTGTTTGCTTTAAAAATAAATCATTTCTCGTCGTCAAATACATCCAAGGGCAGATAGGGGGGCCGAGTCACTGGTGCAATCAGTTGGTAATTAACGAACGAGATTAATTGCAAGGTATCATACGCTCTGATGAGATACCACAATTACAGAGTTACGGTCAATGTTACTCTGGGTATTTTACATTGGAAATTGGACAATGGAACATTTTGTCGTTATTTTCAATTACTCTCGTGCCTCTGGGAGATTAGAACAATCATTATTACCAGAGGTAATTGGAAAAACCGATTAAAAATGGGGAATTCATGAATTCATAATATTTCATTTGGTTGTGTTAAATCTGTTTTTTAAATAAATTTCAATAAATTGATTAAAAAGCCAAATTTTAATCTACAGAACTAATTTTTAGTGCTGTATATTTAAATGTTTATTTTCATGAGGAAAATGCCAAATTAAATATAATTGAATTTGTGATAGCTTGAGAATTACCGGAATATTCAAAAAATTAAATGATTCGTTAATGATAATTCTACAGAAATGACATGTCACATGTTTCGTCATTCAAAATGTAAAATTCAATTTTCCAATGTGTGATTAATTTCTTCTTTCCATTGAAGGTAAAAAACGTACACTTTCCCTTTCCTTCTAAATTTATCTGCAATGCCCCTAGCACTGCATTTTCCCCAAAGAAAATTCCCCTCTCGCCCCTAAAGAACCAAGGGGTTGAGCCACCCCGATTGCACCGTATTTATCGTCCCGATCTCGCCGGACATGCGAGTCGTCAGGTTCTCCCCGGCATTCGCCCGGTATTTTATGAAAATTAACCGACGAAAAAGGCGTGCCAATGGCACATACCTCTCCCCTCATACGATGATTCTCGCGGAGTGAGACAGAAATAGCAACAAACCACGAGAATGGAGAACACGGGGTGTAGGCGTGCAAGAGCTCCGCCTCTTTTGGCATTGGGGAAGAGGTGAATGAAGAAACGCCTGTATTTAATACCTCTCTGAGACAAACTTGGTGGGGAAAAACCGCGGACTTGCCCCTTCTCCACAGTGATTCCGTTTAAAATATTCACCACCACCAGATACTGCTCTGGCCTCTCCTTCTTCGTCTCCTTTCTTTCCGTTAAGGTGACTGTCCAGGGCAGTCAGAGAAGCGCAGTCAACGACTGCACTGCGTTCAGCCTCTCTCACGTATTCCAATTAACTAATTTTCCGAATAATTATTTATCATCAATTAACAGTCATTATTCTAATCGTGGGATAAATCAACGATAATCACCCGTCAGTTTTTATTTACTCTTCGAGGGAGAGTTATAAGTTGTTGTGGTGTGGAGACTTTGCGTTTTTGTTCCATCAGGACTTCAGTGTGTGGAGAAATTAAATGTAATTTTATTGTGATTTTCAAGTAAATAAACTGTGGTGATATCGAATTCAAGGCGTCCCCTTAAGGCAGTCAACTCGGAAACTCGATTAATCACGTCTAATTAATCACGCCCACGTTACTGGACCAGTGAATTAATTATTCAAATTAGAAAGGACGCGGTGGGACCATATTCAATTGCCACTGGAGAGGGTAAAGGATTGAATTGGCAACTGGTGGTGAGTTGGATGCTCCTTGCAGTGGTGATGACAGCATTGGATTAATTGAATGTGAGTAAATCGATTATTGAAAATGTTTATTATTTTCGTATCGGTAGTACGTGTTGGGAAGTAGTTTTACTCAGTAAATAGGGGACCGTCACTTAACTGTGAGTCAACTTTTTTTTTTTCAACGCCGGTTTATCACTAATGCCTGGACGTCTGGTGCTTGACACGGTGATAAGAGCGTTATCGCATTAATTACCGATAATTCCCATAGGGGTGATTTCTCCGTAAACTACTCTCTCTGCTGTTGAGAATTTATCCACATGGCTCACATCAATTTCATCTAATGACCGTTCGTGTTTTTGTTTTAATTTAAAGCAAAAAAAAAATATCTGTCACACGAGACGATTTTCGTACTGAATCAAAATCAAACCTTCAAGAAATTGCAAAGATTTCCAATTAGATTTTTATCGTTAGATCTGAATGTCGTTATTTTTCCCAATACATTAATTACCGATAATTCGGTAAATTTCACATTTGAAAAATTGGATAATTTCTACTGATGATCGTTGACTTTTTAAATTTAATTGCGAAAACCGATGAGGGGAACTTTAATATTTAATATTTTATTCAAACCGGATGCGTGTATTTTCCTTGCCCCCATGGTCGGCCATTTTGAACAGTAATACCCATCACGACCAATGGAGAAAACGTGTTTGTGAGCATATTTTTGCCAGTAAAAATGAGCATCATCAAAATATTATGAATTTTGCGTTGAAATACCAAAGACAAAAGCTATTTTATCCACTTATCTACGACAAAGGGAATGGAAATATCTGCAGGATTTTGCGTAGGCAAAGAATTTTTATCTATCGCACCATAAAGCAGCATGTCCCTCATACGTATATAACCCGAAGTAATGTTACCCGTAAGCAACAATGCTATCTATTTTGTGGCTCACTCGGCATGCTTTTTTTCTTTTTTACTATACCCTTATCGCTGGTGTGTTATACACCGGTTCATTCTTTTACCGATACATTTTAGCATAACGCTAGGTAAGTGACAAGTGTCATCGTATGCCAGCAAGGTCCTTCGATTCTTTAACAAAGTAAAATATTTTATTTTCACGGCTTTTTATTGTTCATAAAATGCACTTTATGCTTGGGTTTTCGAAGCGCGATGGGACATTTTACAGGCGGAAGTGAGAATGTAGATAATGAGAATCGTTGCTCTGATTAAATTATCAGTAGGAAAAAAATGGTATTTCAGAATGTGGAGCATAGTTGTGGGCTTTGAAATTCATTTGAAGGCTCTAATGAGTCGAATGGACTGAGAGAGAAATTCATTTTGTGTGATGATTAGGGAAGAGTCAGATAAAATAGACGTTTGGAGGTCAATAACGAAACAATTGGAGCAGTTGGAAAGAATTACATTGAGAAATACATGTACTGAAAGTTTTATTACGTAACAACCGAATTTTACTGAAGCGTATGTTTATAGTAAATTCATTTCACGAATGCTGTCATTTTATTGTCCGTTGAACTGCACCGATAATCGGACATTTTAAAAAAATGCAGTAATTTAGCAGTAATTTTGTTCTAATGTGTCTAAAATATACGTTTCAAGAAATATCCTCGGAATATTTGAGAATTAATTTCTCAGTGTGATTTCCTCGATCGTGGGGGAATGGATGGGGATTCCTACGTCGGAAACTACCAAAAATACCGTAGAATTAAAATAATAGTGATCGCTGCGGTTACATTAATTCGTGAATGGTGTCGTCTGTCCTTTTATTTAAAAGATTTCAGTGGTGGCAGGATAAAAATGTGAAGCCGTGGGCATATGGACATCTATCGGAGGTTGTTTCACGGCGGCGGCAGAGGCCTGTGAAAGCCACCTTGGCGGGTTTTTAGGCCTAATTAGTTGTCGCCCCGGCGTCACGTCTAGAGGCTCCAGGCGCCTCCATCCTCTCCACTGTTTTTCATCCTCCAAAACCCTTCCGCCCTGACTCCAGCTTGTTCTATGCCTCGTTTATGCCTCTCTGATCCCATCGGCTGTCCCCATGTAATGCCATCCCAACAGCTTTATAGTCCATTCCAAAGCGGAAATGATTCCTCTTTTTCTCCACTTTTTTTTTCTTTCGCCCATTCTAATTAATTACCTCATGATTGATGATCGGACATTTCAGAAAAATCTGTTGGCACGAATTTCAACGGATCGCTCAGTGAGTAATGCAACAACTGAACGGCGAATCTGTTCAATTTGTGTAATTACTCGGTTGGACGGTCGGTCTTACTCGGTGATATCCAAGTGCTTCTAGGGTTGAAATAATCGTCTGCATAACTCTTGGGATCAGACTTGGACTAGAGTAGACGATGGGGAGGGGAAACCGGATAATATCCAGATTGTATCTGGGACGAGTAACGTGGGCGCACCGGAGTGCATCACAGTTTATATATACACACCTCGAGAAGTTCGGTAAAACTTCGCCGGAAGTTTTCCTGTCGAGATGCATTATCAAAAATCAGTGGAAATCGCGCTTTCAGTATGTGTTGTATAGTTATTGCTCATAAATTAGAAATGCAGTTTTGAATGCATATAAAAAATGATATCAACATATATCATTATATCGGCTATGGTAATTATCTTTAATGAAGATAATGTAAAATTATTCAAGTATTTTCAAAGTAACAATTTTGGCTGCTTTTCACTGGATATTGATACAATAGATCGATATGTCATCATCTCCAGTTTTACCCTCGTGCGATGGAAATTCTAATTGGTTGAGAAGTTGTTGAAATTTATGAAATGTCGATTTATAGATTTATGCAGATTCGATGAAATTTATAGGTTCACTAGAGCCTCGGAGGAATTATAAACTTTTGAGCAGCGACTGGGGGAGAATCCTACGACTCACTTGAATTTTAAATTGATACATAAATATTCAGTACTCGATCACGGTGAATTCAACATTAATTCGGAATTTTAGAATATATCTACGTGAATTTTCCGGATTTATGGTCATTTTTACGCGGACATTTATTGTTCTCTGCAATTTTCTCAGAACATTTTTTAGGGAAATGCATTCTAAATTTGTGGCGGAATGTTTTGAGAAGTTTGCGCTAGGAAATTTTTGGAATGTTGAACGGAATGTTAATCGCAATATTTTGTTGGGTTACTGGGAAAAACATAAATTGCTCGCAGACAAATGGAACATTACAGTCATGGAGGCTATTAATATTCACAAAGTTGTCACATCATGTCAAGAAATTACAGAGGACTTTCATGTTCTTTTAGCGATTTAATATGAGTAGTCAGTGTTCCATGAAAATATTAGTACACTTCCTCAGAATTCAAACGAGATTTTTCAACGCAAAATTAAAATAGAAATAATAAGCAGCTACTGAGGTTTTTAATCATTTCCAGTAGAAATTATCAGCAATTAAATATTCTTTAAACATTCCTGGCGAAGATATTGGAGATTCTTCTCAAATAACAACGCCACTGGAAACCAAGTCAAGATTTTTATTGAAATTCCCAATTTTTCCTTGCGCATGTGAATTGCAGTTGAAAAATTCTCGCGAAATCCCAGCCATTACGAAAATTGAAGTTAATTAACAATTGAACATTGGAATGCCCGTGACACTGACGATTTCATAAATAATTTCCTTCGAAATTGAATTCCCAGTGGTCCCTCTGAATACGATTACCAAACGTCGAGGAAATAAAATCTTTTCACCACTGAATGTATCGTACTCGACCCCGATAATTCCCCCGAGACAAATTACTCGGTGATAGAAACCGAAAAACGTAGAAGAATCCCCAAAAATGGAGGATATAAAAAATGCGGTCGTAAAAAAAGAAGCAAAGGAGAGAGATGAGCCAAGGTACATCGGTGGTGAAAAGAAAATTAATGGTGGGTCGCGTGTCCGACGGGAAATAGCGGAGTGGTGACGCGATATTTCGATCTCCTCAACCGGCGGCTGAATTTCTCCCATCAGATCCTTCTCCCCGGTACAAAGTTCCAAAAACACGTCCCATGAGTTAAACCATGGCCATCACCCAAAATCAACCATCAACACCCGGCTTCCTTCTTCCTCTCCCTGTCATCCCCTGTCCGCCCCTTAATTCTTCATCTCACCCATCACCCAACAAATCCACCACGACATATAACGCCTACACGATTGATCCCTCCCGTTGTCCATCGATTGAGTTGCTTGCAGCGGTGAGATAACCATCAAGAGCCTCTCTCCACGTCAATTATTTTTATTTCCCCCTTTTTTTTTCACCAAAAAGTCAAAACACGGCTCTTCAAAAACCCGACTTTTAATGGATCCCCCAAAGACACCAAATTGATATTCAATTCTCCGGCTTTGAACAATAAATTACCGCCCGGACACATGGACCCAAAGTAATGTATTTTTTCCCCCTCCCCAAAAATGAGACGTCGCTATAAATAATGCCCCCTTG